GCTGGATGGCTAGAGTGTGGAGTGCTTCTCTTCCCTCCACAACAACTTGTGATATTGGCAGTAGCCCGTGTGGTGCTACAGTTCTCTAGAATCCAAGGATGATTGATCACTTGGTCTAGTGTCAATCTCTTCCTGGGATCCAAGTCCAGCATGCCCATAATCAGATTTTTCGCCTCTGGTGACAGATTGGCAGGCCACTGGAACTCCCCCTCGCGCAGCAAATGCATCTCCAGGTTCGATCGCTGGTAGCCCTTGAGGAGTTCGTATGCGATCACTCCAAGCCCCCAAACATCCACCGCCTTCGTGTAAGACAGCCCATATCTCTCGACAAAGATAAGCTCGGGAGCCATGTACTTCTCAGTCCCGCAGCTCTGGCTCATCTCTCTGGCATCGTCGGTCGCCACTCCAAAATCCCCAATCACTGGCCTGATCGTGCTTGCATCTTGCAGCTTGGTGAAAACGTTCTCCAGCTTGAGATCGCGATGGACAACACCACTCGAGTGGACGCCCTTGAGTGTCTCAGCCAGCTCCTTAACGATCTCGGCTACCTCCTCCTCCCTCAGTGGCCCTTTCATCGCTAGATCGCGCAGGCTAGGGCCACAAAGTTCCATGACCATCGTCCCAAAGCAACGCCCGCCAACCTTCCTCTCCCTCCTCAGCCCATGGAGGAAGACAACTCCAGGAATGGGGCGAAGCTTGTCCAAGATCCTTGTCTCCCTCTCGGCACAACTCTCCGACTTAAACATCTTTCCTGCGTACCTATGGCGGTTGCGGGCTGCGTCGCTCAGCAAGTAGACTTGGCCCTGTCCTCCATGCCCCAACTTCTCGTGTCTGATGTACCACTTGAGAAGCTCGCCACACTCGTCATCTCTAAACTCGCCATCCTCGAGCGCCATCTTCCCCTTTTTCTCGCTTGGTTTTAAGAAAACCTAGCTTCCCACAACAGGTTTAATGATCGCGAAAAGGCCATTACTTTTATTAAACTAAAAACTTCACCAGTAAAAAACTGACCATTGTAAAAGACCATTTTAAGATCCAATGGCTAATATTTTTTGGTTTTCTTAAGGGAAGGGGAGTTAAGATGGTAGTGAATATACTTAAAATATGCTTGAAAATTTAAATATTCTACCATCTAACGGTTCTTATTCATTTAGATTAATTTTGTATTTATACTTTCTTAAACACTTTCTAGTATATTCTATTTTATTCTACCGGTTGGTATTGCAATAAAATTAATCTTGTGTTTATAAATTACAAACATGCTTATAATTATAAATTTTTATTTGATCAATTAGATTAATAATTAAAAATAACACTACTATTAAGCAAACAAACGCGTAACAAATTATTATTAATTAGAATAATTTATATGGAATTAAAGGTGATCGCTATTTTATAATTACCCTCCAGGGTTGACCAGCGCGTTGTTTGATGCAGTCGGAGTTTTACGTGTACATGCAAACCAGCCAAGCACGGAAGCTTCACGAGCAGAGTTATGACTATGCGCACGATCATTCCCTTCGTGAAGAATGGAGAGAGTCGCGAAAATGGCGTCTTACTCCAACCCAAAATCCATCGCTCTGATTACCACTGGTCTCTTCTTCCTCTACGTTTTGCTGTCTCAGAATCACTTTCCGGACAAGATCGTGGAAGATCTCATCGTTCCAGAGCAAGGCGATGCTCGCCAGTGCCGGAGCCGCGTAGAGTTCCAGTCCTATCGCCGCAAATCGACAGACCCATCGGCGGAAAGCTACTCGCCATCGCCAGCTCTCATCGTTCCAGAGCAAGGCGATGCTCGCCAGTGCCGGAGCCGCGTAGAGTTCCAGTCCTATCGCCGCAAATCGACAGACCCATCGGCGGAAAGCTACTCGCCATCGCCAGCTCTCATCCACCGCCTGCGACGCTACGAGCAAATCCACGCCCGGTGCTCTCGATTGATCCAAGATGATCCAAACGGCGATCACGGCGACTGCCAATTCGTGGTGTGGATCGCGCCATTTGGATCGCAGGGCCTGGGGAACAAGATGCTGGCGATTGCTTCCACTTTTCTCTATGCTCTGCTCACGAACAGAGTTTTACTCATCGCGAGAGATTCGTCCGCAGAGAACATGGATCGATTGTTCTGCGAGCCATTCCCAAAGAGTTCCTGGCTCCTTCCCAGACCCCTGGAGATCCGATTATCCACAGTCAACGATTCATCGCGGATCGGCCATGCCCCGGATCTAAAAATCACTCCTCAGCACTGTCACGATTTCGCGAGCTCGATCAAGTTTCCAGATGTGGCCTACTCGTATCTGTCCGTGGACTACACCCCGGACGATCGAAAATTCTTCTGCAAGGAGCAGCAAAAACTCTTGCAATCGCAGGTAACGTGGCTGTTTCTCCGGTCAAACGTCTACTTTGCTCCGGGATTGTTCTTGGTGGAATCCTTCCGGAGTGATCTCGCGAAGCTCTTCCCCCAGCAGCAGGCGATTTTCCACCACTTGAGCCGCTATCTCTTCCATCCCATCGATCCGGTGTGGGATCGCACAGCGCGGTTCTACGACTCATATCTCGCGCGCGCCGACCGCGTAGTCGGCATCCAAATGAGAGTTCCTCCACACTTGCAAGGAGTTCGTCAAAACCTGGCGGCGGAGGTGTTCCAATGCGCCGTGGAGACAAAGATCCTTCCCAATATCAGCAAGAACAACGTCGAGAGGATCAAGCTCCGCTCCTCGATCAGCTCGCAGCAGCAGCAGATCGCGGCGGTGGTGACTTCGCTGGATGAGCACCACTTTGACGTGCTGCGAGAGATCTACCTCAACTCCTCCACCGCCGATGGATCGATCGTGAGAGTGGAGCAGCCCAGCCACGAGGGGCAGCAGCACACCGGATTTCTCGATCACGATGAGAAGGCTCTCGCGGAGATTTACTTGCTGGGGCTCAGCGATGTGCTGATCACGAGTCCTGGCTCCACTTTCGGCTACATTGGCCAGGGATTAGCCGGGTTGAGGCCTTGGCTTATGTGGGCTGGGCCTGGCTCAGGCAGGGACATTTGCTCCAAGGCAAGAACTATGGATCCTTGCTTCTTTTCGTTTGGGGAGTCTAACTGCGATTGTGGAGAGGCTGTCAAGCTTGACAATGTGGAGCGGTGTCAAGATTGGCCTATAGCGCCTGGTGTTCAACTCAAAACAACTTGAATCTTTATCCATTCTTTTTAGGACATGTAGAGAGTTATATTGTGTCTTCCAATGTGGACCATTTTGGTATGAATTGTTTGATATGCAACTGATTTCAAGGAAGTTATCTTTCTTTGACGTGGTTATGCCTCCCATTCAACGAGCTTGGATGTTACAACAAGGAATCCACGACTAAGATGTGCAAGGATAAATTCTAGAACGAGAAATCACATAGCAAAGTCATATCAAGATGTTAGTGATTCACGTCGTGAAGCCCGCCACTTTGATACGCTCATAGGCACCCACGATCTGTCAAAAAATTATACAAGATGTTACAAACAAGCAGTTCTTGTTTCCATGATGTAAGTTGTTGTTCCAGTGGGATCAAACTCCTGGTGACAAGTTTTCGTGTATGAGTGTCTTCCTCGGACTTGGCTGCAAGAATGCATCGCGCTGATAACTTCTTCCAGGAGCCTGTCTCAAGCCAAGCAGATCCACAGTCAGGTTTCTTCCAGCAGCCACCGAGAGACTTATCTTTCGAATCTTCTCATTCAAATGTATGGGAGATGTGGAAGTGTGGCCGATGCTCGCTCAGTCTTCGATGCTGTGGTCGCCAAGAACTCCTTCACTTGGAACTTGATGCTGTCAGCATATGCCAGGAACGGGCATTTGCAGAGGGCTAAAGAGGTTTACGACTCCATGCCTGGGAAGGACTTGGTTTCATGCAATGGAATTCTTTCTGCGTACTCGCAGGCCGGGAAACTGGGTGACGCTGTCGAGTTTTTCCGAACGATGCAAGAGAAGGATTTGGTGTCGTGGAACACCGTTCTTGCAGCTTTTTCAAAGGCCAGAGATTTGAGAGGAGCCAGGAAGATTTTCAGCGACATGCCGAGGAAGAATCTAGTTTCGTGGAACACAATGCTGGCCGCTATATCACAAAATGAAGAGATTGAGGTGTTGGAGATGTTTTTTGATGGAATGGAAGAAAAAGACGTGGTTTCTCATAATACGATGATCAATGCATATGGCAAAGCTGGGCATATTGAGAAAACGAGAAAGATATTTGATTACTTGCAAGAGAAAAAATTGGTTTCCTGGAATTCAATGCTATCAGTCTACTCGCATCATGGTCTACTTGACGAAGCAAGAATTGTGTTTGAAGAAATGCCTGAGCGAGACACAATTTCTTGGAACTCTATGCTAGCAGCATATATTCAAAGCGGGAATTTGCGAGAAGCGTTGTCCTTGTTAGAAAGGATGCCAAGAAAAAATTTGGTGTCATACAACTTAATTCTAAGCGCTTTAGCCGCTCAAGGTCTCTTTGACGGAGCAAAGGAATTCTTTGCTACAATTCCCAATCCAAGCATTATCTCGTGGAATACACTCCTTGCTGCATATACTCCAATTGGGCATCTTTACGAGATCATCAAGCTTTACGACCAAATTCCAAACAAGGATATAGTCTCAGACACGGCACTCTTGAATGCCTTTTCTGAAAATGGGAAACTTGAGCCAGCAAAGATGGTATTTGATGCAATGGACCTTGTGTCATGAATGCAATGCTAGCGGCATTTTGTGACAATGGGAGCTCGTTCAATGCCAAGGAGATGCTCAGTTGGATGTGTGCTCGGAATCTTAGCTCTTGGAACTGCGTTCTCCGATCATTTGCTCTTGATGGGGATCTTGACGAGACAAAGAGATTATTTGACAAAATGCCCGAGTGGGACCAAATGTCTTTCAATTTCATGCTTGCGGCATATGTCTCAGGCGGGCATCATGGTCTTGCTAAAGTAATGTACGAAACACTACTTCCTGAGAAAGATTCCTTTTTCACACGTCGCCATGCTAAGTGCCTACACTGTACAGGGCAAGGTTGATGATGCAAAGCTTTTGTTTGATAGCATTCCATACAGGTCTCTTTTTATTTGGAACTCTATGCTTTCGGCATATGCCCAAAACTGTCATCCGGACAATGCAAAATATCATTTTGATGCCGTGCCCGAGTGGGACATTGTCGCTTGGACCTCTTTATTATATTCCAGAAATTATCAAGGAAATGTGGAGGAAGCGAAGGTGTTGTTTGAGAAGATGCCTGAGCGAGATCTAATCGCATGGAATGCTACGTTGTCAGGACATTCCCAACACAGGCATTTAGAAGACTCAAAGTGCCTGTTTGATTTGATGCCTTCCCACAATATTGTCTCTTACAACACTCGGATGGCAGCTTACTCTCAGCATGGATACATCGAGGATGCCCTCTTGGTCTTCCAGAAAATGAGACACAGGAACTCTATTTCGTGGAACACTCTACTTGTGTCATATGCTCAAAATGGGCATACTACTACTGGAAAGGCGTTTTTCTCAACCTTGCCCGAGCAAAATCTGGTTTCTTGGAATGTAGTAATTGGAATGTATGCTTTAAATGGGCAAACTGCACAATCCTTGGAGCTCTTTAGAAACTGTGTTGCTGATGGTGTCAAGCTGGATGATGTATCTTTTACCTCTGCATTGATTGCTTTGAGGTGAGGTTGACGATTCACATTTTCTGTTTAAATCAATGATAACAGACTACTTAGTAACGCCTGGCAAGCAACAATATGGTTGTATCATCTCCTTGTTTGCTCGTGGAGGATATGATAGATCCTGTAAAGAACTCATTGATACAATGCCTTTCTTTCCTGATACTCACGACTGGACGTGCCTGGCAAGTGCCAATAGAATCTACAAATCTAACAGCCTTGGAATGGGGCATCACAATACACGGAAAACAAATGCCAACTAGCAGAAGCGTCTTGCGTGCTTGGTAACAGAGCAAGCTTAGACTTGGTTGAAAGGTACCTGGGATGTAAGTCATGTCCAACTTCGCCATGTCCTTGTCGGTCTCGCATTCCCCACTAGGCTGGAGCTTGTGTCACTGAGCCCTCTCTCACACTCGAGCCACCTCTTCATGCCGCGAAAAATTCCTCACGACTTTGTTCTTCGCACGATCATCGACTGCTCCTACTCTCTCACATGCTCCTCCGGTTCCGGACGGCATTCATTACGAGCATAGCAATGTGGTCTTGGTTTACAATTTTGCAGCAATCTCGCGAGCGCATGACGAAGTAGTGCATGAAAGCCTCTTCTTGTGCTGTCAACTCTGATATCCTCGATGGTCAATTCTTGGACTTCAGGCGTCCAAGAAATCAGCCAGCTGCATATTTCTCAAGTGATCACGTCGAATCAGATCCAAAACTCTTTGTTTACCTTGCTGAATCCCCCATCCTTGTAGCGGAAGGTGGTAGCGTCACTTTCTCTATAACGAGCAAGGTCGGGTTTGCGCTCGTACGCCACCAGACCCTCGCACCACTAAGTAGAAGCTTGCGTAGGGAACCAGATGGTTTTCAGACTCATGAAGCTCCTCGCTTCCATCAACAAAGAAGTGGAACTTCTCAGCTCTTGGCTGCTGCCTCTTGTGCTCCTCGACAACCTACACTGCCTCTTCCATCTTCTGGATTGGCGATTGCACGAATTACAAATCACTGTATCCCAGAACCTCGTCAAACGGAATAGAGTTGCTTATCCAAGAATATGCATGCGATAAATAAATTTGACGGCTGTAACTTGGGATCTCCGTGTTGTACCTATGAGCAAAAACTTAGCTTCCTCCGTTCTAGTTAACATTTGAAGAAACGAGTGAGCTTACTTGTCCCTGTAGAGAAGATTGAGCTCCGCAGTGGTTCATTAATAAGAGTTCAGCCAATCTTTCCTTGATGCCATCTGGTGGAAACTGCAAGCCACTGCTCTAAAATCAACTTACTCACGCTCTTGGGACCGTAAATGAGATGGTGTACCAAAAATCGCAGACATACCTGCTCACAGTTGCTCTTATGCCTGGAGGTGGCCTTAAACTCTCCAATGTATGGTAACTTTGTGGACTTGGTTCACTGGCATAATTGTATCACTTCCTTGGCCTCCCGTAATCTCTCTTGAAACCGGGCCAAGGCTCATTAGGGCTTTAGAATTCTGGACATGTCTTCTCTGGACGCATTGCTGGAAAGAGGAGTGTGGCTTCTGGAAACGCCTTGCAGCAGGATTAACACTGTTGGGTTTGCTTTGAAAGGTTGTGAGTGCAGCTTTCAAGACTTGAGCAAGTTTGATTTCTGCAAAAATGTGACAAGCAAGACGGAGAAGGAGCCGCGCAACTTCCGTGTGATTCGAGACGACTTGCTGCACCCGACGCTCGGTGGAAACAAAATCAGAAAGCTCGACGCTGTGGTTCCGTTCCTCAAGGACGAGGAAATCACTGATGTGGTACATACTCTTTTTTTTTTTGTTCTTTCTTTGAAGCGATTTCAATGTCTATCAGGTGACTTGTGGAGGCTGTCAAAAGTGCTCATGCTGCTGCTGTAGGTACGAAAAGAAGACTAAGAATTCTCTAGTTTTATACTTCTTCTTTTCTATCTAACGTGTTTTCTCAGCTCAGCTGTGGCGTGTGCTGAGCATGGGATGTCGGCTCATTTGCTGCTACGAGGTGAAAAACTTGAAGTCACGACTGGATATAACTTGATATCGGAGGTTTATGGAAAAAGAACCGAGTATGCAGATCGACAAAAAATGTTCAGCTCGCATATGGAACGTGTTGCTTGTTCTGAAGAACCAGTTCTTTGGTTGAATGGCAACTCTATCACCAGAGAAACAATCACTCCTTCAGAAAATTCTAAATTGCTTGAACCCGGAAGAGGAAGAAGAAAATGGGCCGTGCTTGGAGAAGGTGGTGCGAGTGGTCTAGCACTTCTCGGTGTGTGATTTTCAACTTTGATATGTTTGTATCTCTAATATTTTTCGTGCGATCTATGATCGGGCTTTATAAGACTTGTGAGATGGCTAAGCGAAAACGAAGTCTTCGAACGAGATGACAAGATCAAAATCGTGGTCGATTCTGGCACTGGAACATCCGCCATTGACCTGGCTCTAGGAATCGCTTTGCTCGGGTATGCTCGAGTTTATATCCTTTTGGTGGTATATATCCTTTCTTCCAGCCTTCACCAGTGGGAGATTGTTGGTGTAATGCTCTCCGGTTCTCGCGACTACTACGAGAGACAAATGAAGAACCTTGTCACTGGTTTTCTTCAGCAGTTTCGCTGCGATCAGTCGGCAGAGGCTTTGAGCTTACCTCTTGTTTGGGAGGAGAGGAAACGAGTACGCAGGTATGATTTATATATAAGCTTGCGAGCTACAGTATAATAGTATGATAGTACAGGTTTGGAAAGATTTTTGGAGAGATCGGTGCTTGCAAGAGTATAGCCTGACAAACTGGCATTTTGCTAGACCCGATTTACACGTTTTCCCCTTTTTTCCGCTTGATTTTAAGGAAACCTAACAACAGGTTTAATGATCGCGAAAAGGTCATTAGTTTTATTAAACTAAAAACTTCACCAGTAAAAAGCTGACCATTGTAAAAGACCATTTTAAGATCCAACGGCTAATATTTTTTATTAATGAGAATAATTTATATGGAATTAAAGGTGATCTCTTTCGAAGGACTGGGCATTATGACAAGTTACACCATTGCCAGGCACACAGAGAAGCAAGGATTAGTTGTTGCAGCCGAGCTACAACAAAAATTTAAAACAATCCATTTTAATTTAAACATCTTTTCATATCGAAGCTTGTTTGTAGATGAGCTTAAGAATTTTCTACTAAGCCACCATAAGTTGATGGCTGTTGTGGACTGATTCTCACTCCACAACACCTTTTGATATCGGCAGTAGATTGTGTGGTGCTACAGTTCTCTAGAATTTAAGAATGATTGATCACTTGATCTAGTGTCAATCTTTTCCTCCATAATCAGATTTTACACCTCCGACTACATATTGACAAGCCACTGGAACTCTAGGTTTGATCACTTGTAGCCTTTGAGAAGCTCGTATGCCATCACTCCAAGCCCCTAAACATCCATTGCCTTTGTGTATGACAATCTCCTATATCTCTCGATGAAGATATTCTCAGGAGCCATGTACTTCTTTGTCCCACAGCACTGGCTCATCTTTCGTCGGTTACCACTCCAAATCCACCAATCAGTGGCTCGTCTATGCTTGCATCTTGCAGCTTGGTGAAAACGTTCTCCAGCTTGAGGTCACGATGGGCAACACCCTTCGACTGAGTGTCTCGGCCAACTTCTTCAGAATCTCGGCTACCTCCTTCTCGCTCAGTGGCCCTTTCACACACAGCTCCATGACTATCGTCCCAAAGCAACACCCGCCAACCTTCTTCTCCCTTTTCTCCCTTTTCAGCCCCTGGAGAGAGATAACTCCAGGAATGGAGCAAAGCTTGGACAAGATCCTTGTTCCCTCTTGGCGCCACTCTCACGCTTAACCATCTTTCCTGCGAATGTTGTGGGCTGTGTTATCAACCGGTCATAAAAAATTAAAGTTCGCATGTTACTATCTTTCTATATCCTCAACAACATTATGCAAAGGGTATAATCAACTTCAAATCAATTTGAATCCTCAGATGTGTAACTGCAGTTACAGCTCATTGTAAAGCAAAGAAGATTCATAAATTCCATGTAATGCCCTTAGTGGGCATTTTACAACACTTGATTTTTTAAATTCCCTGCACGTAAGCCTGTCTTTCAGTCCTTGGGGACGTTCCATCTCCTCCGCAACTCTCCCACAGTCCCACTTCATCCAAGCGCCACTGGTTCCGGGGATTTCCATAAAAACCACCTTCATCAGTGGCAGCAAATAGTTCCTCTTTACCTCTCGAGAGATACTCAATCCTCGAATCCACCACCTTTCTCATCGCACATTCCCTCCATAACCCATAAGACCCTCGTCCTTGTCTAGCATCCTCTTCACACACCACTGGTCTGTTCTTCCTCTACGTTTTGCTGTCTCAGAATTACTTCCCGGACAAGGTCGCGGAGGATCTCATCGTTCCAGAGCAAGGCGATGCTCGCAGCGGCTAGAGTTCCAGTTCTATCGCCGCAAATCCACAGACCCATCGGCGGAAAGCTACTCGCCATCTCCAGCTCTCATCCACCGCAACGTTACGAGCAAATCCACGCCCGGTGCTCTCGATTGATCCAAGATGACCCCAACGGCGGCGAAACAGCCAAGTTACCTGCGATTGGAAGAGTTTTTGCTGCTCCTTGCAGAAGAATTTTCGATCGTCCGAGTTCCTGGCTCCCCGGAGAGCCGATTATTCACAGTCAACGATTCATCGCGCCCGGATCTTCTAAGCACTGTCACGATTTCGCGAACTCGATCAAGTTATCTGTCCGTGGACTACACCTCTTTGGGAATGGCTCGCAAAACAATCGATCCATGTTCTTTGCGGACGAATCTCTCGCGATGAGAAAAACTCTGTTCATGAGCAGAGCATAGAGAAAAGTGGAAGCAATCGCCAGCATCTTGTTCCCCAGGCTCGCGATCCAAATGGCGCTATCCACACCGCGAATTGGGAGTCGCCGTGATCGGTCAAACGTCTACTTCGTTCCGGGATTGTTCTTGGTGGGCAGCAGCAGATCGCGGCGGTGGACGAGCGCCACTTTGACTGAGATCTACCTCAACTCCTCCACCGCCGATGGATCGATCGTGAGAGAGGAGCAGCCCAGCCACGAGGGGCAGCAGCACACCGGATTTCTCGATCACGACGAGAAGGCTCTCGCGGAGATTTATTTTCTGGGTTGCTCCTGGCACCACTTTCGGCTACATTGGCCATGGAATGGAGGCATAACCATGTCAAAGAAAGATAGCTTCCTATATCAAACAATTCATACCAAAACTCTCTACATGTCCTAAAAAGAATGGATTAAGATTCAAGTTGGTTTGAGTTAAACACCAGGCGCTATAGCTTGACATCTCCATAATCGCAGTTAGACTCCCCAAACGAAAAGAAGCAAGGATCCATAGTTCTTGCCTTGGAGCAAACATCCCCACCTGATCCAGGCCCAGCGCACATAAGCCAGGGCCTCAACCCGGTTAATCCCTGAGCTTGGATGTTACAAAAAAGAATCCACGATTAAGATGTGCGAGGATAAATTTATAGCAAGAAATGGCATAGCTTCTGTAATTATCATTCACATGATAGACGTTTTTCAATTTATAAGATTTGCATGATGGGTGATTCTCCTCTTTTTGTTTCCATGGCCGTGCAAGTTGTAGTTCCAGTGGGATCAAACTCCTGGTGAAGTTTTCGTGTATGAATGTCTTCTTTGGACTCGGCAGTGCCAAGCCTGCAAGAATGATCGCGTTGATAACTTCTTCCAGGAGCCTGTCTCAAGCCAAGCTGATCCAAAGTTGGGTTTCTTCCAGCAGCCACCAAGGGACTTTTCTGTCGAATCTTCACATGAAATGTATGGGAGATGTGAACGTGTGGCTGTCTCTCGCTCGGTCTTCGATGCTGTAGAACTCACTTGGAATTTGATGCTGTCAGCATATGCCAAGAACGGGCATTTGCAGAGGGCTAAAGAGGTTTACGACTCCATGCCTGGGAAGGACTTAGTTTCATGCAATGGAATGCTTGCTGCGTACTCTCAGGCCGGGAAACTGGGTGATGCTGTCGAGTTTTTTCGAGTGAAGAGTCTTAGCTAACCGAAGCAGGGACAACACTGTGTATATTGTTGGAGGCAAGCTGCCAGTGGTCGTCTCTGCGATGTGCTGGTTGAGTTTAGGCTTGGCTGCCTGTTTCGCTGATGCCCAATTCTGGAATATGTGTAAGGTTCTGGTTTCCTTGCTCAAACCATGGATGGTGATTACAACCTGAAAGAAGAGTGGCACTTCGCTTGGATGGCACACGTATGTTTTTGTGCAAGGTCGTCAAGGACTCAGCATCCTAAGGTGGCAACACGCATGTCAATGAGGGTTCTTCTGCCTTCAAGCCCGATTCCTTTAATTCGAGGTTATAAACAGAAATTCTTTTAATTAATTAAGGACTAATTTAGAGTCTTAGAACAATATAAGTTTAAATCCTTTTAACGAGAAAAGCTCAGACAAATGGATGTTCGGGCAAAGTGGCGGCAAGCTGTGAAGCAAGCCATCAAGGTCTAAGTTCTTCTCTAGTGAGTTGTTATATAAGATCAATGGGTAAAGGTCTGGATACTCTCAAACGGCTACTGGCTTGAAGCTTTGACTAGCTTTCAGAGTTTCTGGTTCTTAATCCCTATTGCCACAGGTTGATGAAATACGCCCCTCTGCACATACTTTGAATAAATGTGGCTGGTTGGACAAGTCTTTTTTCAGATCGTTCTTAGGTTAAAGTTGAAGAAGTCATATTATAAGTGACAGAAAAGTTGAATCTAGATCCAGTAAGTTTCATCCAAATATGCACGTAAAATTGGCCTCTTCATGACAAACAGGAAGAAAGGGGTAGATTTTGAGGTGAAGGGAAACTGGTCTATAAGGCAACTGGCATTCCTGTCCATGAAACTTATTCTCCTACATTCTTGTTTGTAATGGATCCAAATGGGATATATGCTGCATCCCTATTATTCTATACAAATTCGTCTCTTCCTTCCAGAAAAAAGATGGTTACCAGCAAGACTCCTCTGCATACATTCAACATTCCTGCTGCTCTTATGGCTCCAGCTGCTACAAAACTTGAATGATAAAGGCAAGAGATTTTTTATTTTCAAATGATTGTGACCAAAGGTATATATATTGTTTCAGATATTGAATTGAAAAAGCATATTCTAGCATATATTCTTAATCCAATGACTAAGCTCCTTAACCCTACTTGGATTTAGCTCATGAAACTAAGCAGTGTATTCTATGAAACTATATTAGACTTTTGGTCGTTGAAATAAGGAATATCCATGCCTACTTTAGGAGCTCACTTTTTCCTTTTTCTTTTTCTTTTATATATATAGTTATAATATTTTTATAAAAATATTTTTTAACAAAAGACATAAATTTCTCATATATTAGAGTATAAACCTATGAAAATATTATTGTTTTTATTTTTAAATTTTCTATTTTTAATTAAAAATATAGTTTATGGAAGAGCAACTGTAGAATGGGGTAATAATAACACACTTACTGAAAATGAAATTAACCTTATAATTAATAATGGATTTTTAGATCTTTTAACTCACATTAAAAATTATCATTCATATTCAAGAAATTTTAAGAATTTAACTGTTTTAAATATTGGTAGGGGTGTATTTGCTGTAAGAATTGAGCGCGTGGATGGAGAGCCACCATATTGTTCAACTGGTCAAACTGAAAATACAATTATTGGCATGAGAATCAAAGAAGCTGTTAGGTACTTAATCAATACATATAGTACTACAATGATTGCAGCAAAATCTGATGTATGCAAAATTATATCTCAAAATTATATAATTCAATATTCAGTAGTATTTTGGTGGAGACTAACCTTAAGTAAAGTTAATAGTTTGTTTACATCTTATCTTTCATATGATAATTGTGATACTACATTAACTACTTTAAATGCTGGTTTTTCAGACCATGTGTTATATACAGGCCAATTTTTGGTATCCCCAAATCGCAAAAATGTGTTATTAATAGAAATAAATTGTAAAGTTTCACTTTATTCAGGAAAAATTTTACTATGGAGATCTGATATCACATTTGATTTTATTGGTCAATGTAAGCTTGATCTTCAAAAAGATGGGAATTTGGTATTATATACTGATAAGAAAATAAAAATGTGGTCAATTGATCATTATTGTTATAATCAACCAGATTGTATATTTCTTACTTATCTTAGTTTATTAAATAATTGCAACTTAGTAATTTATGAGGCTAATAGTCCAAATGCTATTTGGTGGGAAACAAAAACTACTAATCATTTTGGTTGTTTAAAATAATACTTATTATGTTGTAATTTATATTAGTCATGTAAAACCTTATTAAGTGCAATTCAATTTAGTATCTAAATGAAAATTAGAGGGACCAAGAGTGAATTAAATTGCATGCAAGATCTTTTCTCTCTTGTTGTGCTCTGAGTGGAATATCATATTCAGATCTAATGCTTCCATCATTCCTTGCCATGTAGAACCATCCAACTTAAAATTTAATACTTCCATCATTTTTTACGAAATCTCTATTAGAGTGAGTGAAAGGCATCAAAACCATGATTGGAACTTTTATTAAATGTTTTTGGAATTCTTTGTATAAGCTATTGTTGAATAGCTTTATTTAATATAATTTCATTTTATTGAGCATGAAAAGCATAATAAAATTCTAGCTATAATACGGTTAACCAAGGACAATATGGTAGGGACAAGAAAAAGAAAAAGAAAAGTGTAAAATATATGGTTATTATCTTGGTATGATCTTCATGTCTCAAGATTTTTAATACGTGGAGTCCAAGTGACAAAAGCTAGTTCGTTGATACTACAAGCTTTAGCCAGTTTGCCTATGAAATTAGCTATATCACATCAACCTTAGAATGAGCTTCATACCCGAAGAGCTGTCTACTCACACAAGGTAACGGTGCTTCATCTATATTTGTCTTCTCCCTTAGATGAGCTTTGGTGTAGAAGTTTTGACTAAGCCACCCTAAGTTTCTTCATAGCTGGATGGCTAGAGCGTGGAGTGCTTCTTTTCCCTCCACAACAACTTGTGATATTGGTAGTAGCCCGTGTGGTGCTACAGTTCTCTAGAATCCAAGGATGATTGATCACTTGATCTAGTGTCAATCGCTTCCTGGGATCCAAATCCAGCATGCCCATAATCAGATTTTTCGCCTCTGGCGACAGATTGGCAGGCCACTGGAACTCCCCCTCGCGCAGCAAATGCATCTCCAGGTTCGATCGGTTGTAGCCCTTGAGGAGTTCGTATGCGATCACTCCAAGCCCCCAAACATCCACCGCCTTGGTGTAAGACAGCCCATATCTCTCGACAAAGATAAGCTCGGGAGCCATGTACTTCTCAGTCCCGCAGCTCTGGCTCATCTCTCTGGCATCGTCCGTCGCCACTCCAAAATCCCCAATCACTGGCGTGATCGTGCTTGCATCTTGCAGCTTGGTGAAAACGTTCTCCAGCTTGAGATCGCGATGGACAATACCACTCGAGTGGACGCCCTTGAGTGTCTCAGCCAGCTCCTTAACGATCTCGGCTACCTCCTCCTCCCGCAGTGGCCCTTTCATCGCTAGATCGCGCAGGCTAGGGCCACAAAGTTCCATGACCATCGTCCCAAAGCAACGCCCGCCAACCTTCCTCTCCCTCCTCAGCCCATGGAGGAAGACAACTCCAGGAATGGGGCGAAGCTTGTCCAAGATCCTTGTCTCCCTCTCGGCACAACTCTCCGACTTAAACATCTTTCCTGCGTACCTATGGCGGTTGCGGGCTGCGTCGCTCAGCAAGTAGACTTGGCCCTGTCCTCCATGCCCCAACTTCTCGTGTCTGATGTACCACTTGAGAAGCTCGCCACACTCGTCATCTCTAAACTCGCCATCCTCGAGCGCCATCACGTCTTCCCCTTTTTCTCACTTGGTTTTAAGAAAACCTAGCTTCCCACATTACTTTTATTAAACTAAAAACTTCACCAGTTCTCTTCCCTTAGGCAAACCAAAAAATATTAACCGTTAGATCTTAAAATGGTCTTTTACAATGGTCAGCTTTTTATTGAGATGGTAGTGAATATACCTAAAATATGCTTGAATATTTTAAAATATTCTACCATCTAACGGTTCTTATTCATTTAGATTAATTTTGTATTTATAATTTTTAAACATATTTATAATTTATAAACTTTCTTAAACACTTTCTAGTATATTCTATTTTATTTAACCTTAGTATGTAATAAGATTAATCTTGTGTTAATAAAATTATAACCTTTAGTTGATCAATTAGATTAATAATTAAAAATAACACTACTATTAAGTAAACTAACGCGTAACAAATTATTATTAATTAAAATAATTTATATGGAATTAAAGGTGATCTCTATTTTATAATTACCCTCCAGGGTTGACCAGCGCGTTGTTTGATGCAGTCGGGGTTTTACGTGTACATGCAAACCAGCCAAGCACGGAAGCTTCACAAGCAGAGTTATGACTATGCGCACGATCATTCCCTTCGCGAAGAATGGAGAGAGTCGCGAAAATGGCGTCTTACTCCAACCCAAAATCCATCTCTCTGATCACCACTGGTCTCTTCTTCCTCTACGTTTTGCTGTCTCAGAATCACTTTCCGGACACGATCGTGGAAGATCTCATCGTTCCAGAGCAAGGCGATGCTCGCCAGTGCCGGAGCCGCGTAGAGTTCCAGTCCTATCGCCGCAAATCGACAGACCCATCGGCGGAAAGCTACTCGCCATCGCCAGCTCTCATCCACCGCCTGCGACGCTACGAGCAAATCCACGCCCGGTGCTCTCGATTGATCCGAGATGATCCAAACGGCGATCACGGCGACTGCCAATTCGTGGTGTGGATCGCGCCATTTGGATCACAGGGCCTGGGGAACAAGATGCTGGCGATTGCTTCCACTTTTCTCTATGCTCTGCTCACGAACAGAGTTTTACTCGTCGCGAGAGATTCGTCCGCAGAGAACATGGATCGATTGTTCTGCGAGCCATTCCCAAAGAGTTCCTGGCTCCTTCCCAGACCTCTGGAGATCCGATTATCCACAGTCAACGATTCATCGCGGATCGGCCATGCCCCGGATCTAAAAATCACTCCTCAGCACTGTCACGATTTCGCGAGCTCGATCAAGTTTCCAGATGTGGCCTACTCGTATCTGTCCGTGGACTACACCCCGGACGATCGAAAATTCTTCTGCAAGGAGCAGCAAAAACTCTTGCAATCGCAGGTAACGTGGCTGTTTCTCCGGTCAAACGTCTACTTTGCTCCGGGATTGTTCTTGGTGGAATCCTTCCGGAGTGATCTCGCGAAGCTCTTCCCCCAGCAGCAGGCGATCTTCCATCACTTGAGCCGCTATCTCTTCCATCCCATCGATCCGGTGTGGGATCGCACAGCGCGGTTCTACGACTCATATCTCGCGCGCGCCGATCGCGTAGTCGGCATCCAAATGAGAGTTCCTCCACACTTGCAAGGAGTTCGTCAAAACCTGGCGGCGGAGGTGTTCCAATGCGCCGTGGAGACAAAGATCCTTCCCAATATCAGCAAGAACAACGTCGAGAGGATCAAGCTCCGCTCCTCGATCAGCTCGCAGCAGCAGCAGATCGCGGCGGTGGTGACTTCGCTGGATGAGCACCACTTTGACGTGCTGCGAGAGATCTACCTCAACTCCTCCACCGCCGATGGATCGATCGTGAGAGTGGAGCAGCCCAGCCACGAGGGGCAGCAGCACACCGGATTTCTCGATCACGATGAGAAGGCTCTCGCGGAGATTTACTTGCTGGGGCTCAGCGATGTGCTGATCACGAGTCCTGGCTCCACTTTCGGCTACATTGGCCAGGGATTAGCCGGGTTGAGGCCTTGGCTTATGTGGGCTGGGCCTGGCTCAGGCAGGGACATTTGCTCCAAGGCAAGAACTATGGATCCTTGCTTCTTTTCGTTTGGGGAGTCTAACTGCGATTGTGGAGAGGCTGTCAAGCTTGACAATGTGGAGCGGTGTCAAGATTGGCCTATAGCGCCTGGTGTTCAACTCAAAACAACTTGAATCTTTATCCATTCTTTTTAGGACATGTAGAGAGTTTTATTGTGTCTTCCAATGTGGACCATTTTGGTATGAATTGTTTGATATGCAACTAATTTCAAGGAAGTTATCTTTCTTTGACGTGGTTCTGCCTCCCATTCAACGAGCTTGGATGTTACAAAAAGGACTCCACGACTAAGATGTGCGAGGATAAATTCTAGGACAAGAAATGACATAGCAAAGTCATATCAAGATGTTTAGTGATTCACGTCGTGAAGCCCGCCACTTTGATACGCTCATAGGCACCCACGATCTGTCAAAAAATTATACAAGATGTTACAAACAAACATTTCTTCTTTCCATGATGTAAGTTGTTGTTCCAGTGGGATCAAACTCCTGGTGACAAGTTTTCGTGCATGAATGCCTTCTTCGGACTCGGCAGTGCCGAGCCTGCAAGAATGCATCGCGCTGATAACTTCTTCCAGGAGCCTGTCTCAAGCCAAGCAGATCCACAGTCGGGTTTCTTCCAGCAGCCACCGAGGGACTTATCTTTCGAATCTTCTCATTCAAATGTATGGGAGATATGGAAGTGTGGCCGATGCTCGCTCAGTCTTCGATGCTGTGGTCGCCAAGAACTCCTTCACTTGGAACTTGATGCTGTCAGCATATGCCAAGAACGGGCATTTGCTGAGGGCTAAAGAGGTTTACGACTCCATGCCTGGGAAGGACTTGGTTTCATGCAATGGAATGCTTGCTGCGTACTCGCAGGCCGGGAAACTGGGTGACGCTGTCGAGTTTTTCCGAACGATGCAAGAGAAGGATTTGGTGTCGTGGAACACCGTTCTTGCAGCTTTTACAAAGGCCAGAGATTTGAGAGGAGCCAGGAAGATTTTCAGCGACATGCCGAGGAAGAATCTAGTTTCGTGGAACACAATGCTGGCCGCTATATCACAAAATGAAGAGATTGAGGTGTTGGAGATGTTTTTTGATGGAATGGAAGAAAAAGACGTGGTTTCTCATAATACGATGATCAATGCATATGGCAAAGCTGGGCATATTGAGAAAGCGAGAAAGATATTTGATTACTTGCAAGAGAAAAAATTGGTTTCCTGGAATTCAATGCTATCAGTCTACTCGCATCATGGTCTACTTGACGAAGCAAGAATTGTGTTTGAAGAAATGCCTGAGCGAGACACAATTTCTTGGAACTCTATGCTAGCAGCATATATTCAAAGCGGGAATTTGCGAGAAGCGTTGTCCTTGTTAGAAAGGATGCCAAGAAAAAATTTGGTGTCATACAACTTAATTCTAAGCGCTTTAGCCGCTCAAGGTCTCTTTGACGAAGCAAAGGAATTCTTTGCTACAATTCCCAATCCAAGCATTATCTCGTGGAATACACTCCTTGCTGCATATACTCCAATTGGACATCTTGACGAGATCATCAAGCTTTACGACCAAATTCCAAACAAGGATATAGTCTCAGGCACGGCACTCTTGAATGCCTTTTCTGAAAATGGGAAACTTGAGCAAGCAAAGATGGTATTTGATGCAATGGAGAAATGGGACCTTGTGTCAATGAATGCAATGCTAGCGGCATTTTGTGACAATGGGAGCTCGTTCAATGCCAAGGAGATGCTCAGTTGGATGTGTGCTCGGAATCTTAGCTCTTGGAACTGCGTTCTCCGATCATTTGCTCTTGGTGGGGATCTTGACGAGACAAAGAGGTTATTTGACAAAATGCCCGAGTGGGACCAAATGTCTTACAATTTCATGCTTGCGGCATATGTCTCAGGCGGGCATCAGGATCTTGCTAAAGTAATGTACGAAACACTACTGCCTGAGAAAGATTCCTTTTCACACGTAGCCATGCTAAGTGCCTACACTGTACAGGGCAAGGTTGACGATGCAAAGCTTTTGTTTGATAGCATGCCATACAGGTCTCTTTTCATTTGGAACTCTATGCTTTCGGCATATGCCCAAAACGGTCATCCGGACAATGCAAAAAATCATTTTGATACCATGCCCGCGTGGGACATTGTTTCTTGGACCTCTTTATTATATTCCAGAAACTATCAAGGAAATGTGGAGGAAGCGAAGGAGTTGTTTGAGAGGATGCCTGAGCGAGATCTAATTGCATGGAATGCTATGTTGTCAGGACATTCCCAACACAGGCATTTAGAAGACTCAAAGTGCCTGTTTGATTTGATGCCTTCCCACAATATTGTCTCTTACAACACTCTGATGGCAGCTTACTCTCAGCATGGATACATCGAGGATGCCCTCTTGGTCTTCCAGAAAATGAGACACAGGAACTCTATTTCGTGGAACACTCTACTTGTGTCATATGCTCAAAATGGGCATACGAATACTGCAAAGGCGTTTTTCTCAACCTTGCCCGAGCAAAATCTGGTTTCTTGGAATGTAGTAATTGGAATGTATGCTTTAAATGGGCAAACCGCACAATCCTTGGAGCTCTTTAGAAACTGTGTTGCTGATGGTGTCAAGCTGGATGATGTATCTTTTACCTCTGCATTGATTGCTTTGAGCCATAGCGGTGAGGTTGACGATTCCATTTTTCTCTTTAAATCGATGATAACAGACTACTTAGTAACGCCTGGCAAGCAACAATATGGTTGTATCATCTCCTTGTTTGCTCGTGGAGGATATGATAGATCCTGTAAAGAACTCATTGATACAATGCCTTTCTTTCCTGATACTCACGACTGGACGTGCCTGGCAAGTGCCAATAGAATCTACAAATCTATGGGGCATCACAATACACGAAAAACAAATGCCAGTTAGCAGAAGCATCTCGCATGCTTGGTAACAGAGCAAGCTTAGACTTGGTTGAAAGGTACCTGGGATGTAAGTCATGTCCAACTTCGCCATGTCCTTGTCGGTCTCGCATTCCCCACTAGGCTGGAGCTTGTGTCACTGAGCCCTCTCTCACACTCGAGCCACCTCTTCATGCCGCGAAAAATTCCTCACGACTTTGTTCTTCGCACGATCATCGACTGCTCCTACTCTCTCACATGCTTCTCCGGTTCCGGACGGCATTTATTACGAGCATAGCAATGTGGTCTTGGTTTACAATTTTGCAGCAATCTCGCGAGCGCATGACGAAGTAGTGCACGAGAGCCTCTTCTTGTGCTGTCAACTCTGATATCCTGGATGGTTGATTCTTGGACCTCGGACGTCCGAGAAAACAGCAAGCTGCATATTTCTCAAGTGATGACGTCGAATCAGATCCACAACTCTTTGTTTACCTCGCTGAATCCCCCACCCTTGTAGCGGAAGGTGGTCGCGCCCCGTTTGTCAACATACCATCATTTTCGTTCTCTCTTTCTTTTTTCTTCGTCCCTGCGGTGCTGCTGCTGCTGCTTGCTCGAAGTACCAGCTGCCGATGCCACTGCGCACATTCCCCCACACGCTTCAAACTCTGGCTTGATCTCTAGCTTCACTTTCTCTATAACGAGCAAGGTCGGGTTTGCACTCGTACGCCGCCAGACCCTCGCACCACTAAGTAGAATCTTGCGTAGGGAACCAGATGGTTTTCAGACTCATGAAGCTCCTCGCTTCCATCAACAAAGAAGTGGAACTTCTCAGCTCTTGGCTCCTGCGCTCCTCGGCAAACTACACTGCCTCTTCCATGGAACCGATCTTCTGGATGGGCGATTGCACGGATTGCAAATCACTGTATCCCAGAACCTCGTCGAACAGAATAGAGTTGCTTATCCAAGAGTATGCTCCCGATTCTTGCGATAAATGGCTGTAACTTCAGTGGTTAATAAGAGTTCAGCCAATCTTTCCTTGATGCCATCTGGTGGAAACTGCAAGCCACTGCTCTAAAATCAACTTACTCACGCTCTTGGAACCGTAAATGAGATGGTGTACCAAAAATCGCAGACATACCTGCTCACAGTTGCTCTTATGCCTGGAGGCGGCCTTAAACTCAGGCGGCCCATTCCAACGTATCTTTGTGGACTTGGTTCACTGGCATAATTGTATCACTTCGTAATCTCTCTTGAAACCGCCAAGGCGCATTAGGGTTTTAGAATTCTGGACATGTCTTCTCTGGATGCATTGCTGGAAAGAGGAGTGTGGCTTCTGGAAACGCCTTGCAGCAGGATTGACACTGTTGGGTTTGCTTTGAAAGGTTGTGAGTGCAGCTTTCAAGACTTGAGCAAGTTTGATTTCTGCAAAAACGTGACAAGCAAGACGGAGAAGGAGCCGCACAAGTTCCGTGTGATTCGAGACGACTTGCTGCACCCGACGCTCGGTGGAAACAAAATCAGAAAGCTCGACGCTGTGGTCCCGTTCCTCAAGGACGAGGAAATCACTGATGTGGTACGCACTTCGCTGTTTTTTGTTCTTTCTTTTCTTTCTTTGAAGCGATTTCAATGTCTGTCAGGTGACTTGTGGAGGCTGTCAAAGTGCTCATGCTGCTGCTGTAGGTACGGAAAAAAGACTTTAAGAATTCTCTAGTTTTATACTTCTTCTTCTTTTCTATCTAACGTGTTTTCTCAGCTCAGCTGTGGCGTGTGCTGAGCATGGGATGTCGGCTCATTTGCTGCTACGAGGTGAAAAAATTGAAGTCACGACTGGATATAACTTGATATCGGAGGTTTATGGAAACGTGGTGTATGTTCCAAGAACCGAGTATGCCGATCGACAAAAAATGTTAAGCTCGCATATGGAACGTGTTGCTTGTCCTGAAGAACCAGTTCTTTGGTTGAATGGCAACTCTATCACCAGAGAAACAATCACTCCTTCAGAAAGCTCTAAATTGCTTGAACCCGGAAGAGGAAGAAGAAAATGGGCCGTGCTTGGAGAAGGTGGTGCGAGTGGTCTAGCACTTCTCGGTGAGTGATTTTCAACTTTGATATGTTTGTATCTCTAATCTTTTGTCCGTGCGTTCTAAGATCAGGCTTTATAAGACTTGTAAGATGGCTAAGCGAAAATGAAGTCTTCGAACGAGATGACAAGATCAAAATCGTGGTCGATTCTGGCACTGGAACATCCGCCATTGGCCTGGCTCTAGGAATCGCGTTGCTCGGGTATGCTCGAGTTTAAATCCTTTTGGTGGTATATATCCTTTCTTCCAGCCTTCACCAGTGGGAGATTGTTGGTGTAATGCTCTCCGGTTCTCGCGAGTACTACGAGAGACAAACGAAGAACCTTGTCACTGGTTTTCTTCAGCAGTTTCGCTGCGATCAGTCGGCAGAGGCTTTGAGCTTAAATCTTGTTTGGGAGGAGAGGAAACGAGTACGCAGGTATGATTTATATATAAGCTTGCGAGCTACAGTATAATAGTATGATAGCACAGGTTTGGAAAGATTTATGGAGGGGAGATCGGTGCTTGCAAGAGTATAGCCCGACAAACTGGCATTTTGCTAGACCCGATTTACACACTCGCTGCGTGGGAAGTCGCGATAGAGTTGTCTTGGAACGAAACAGCAGACAAAGTCGCTATTCTTCACACTGGTGGGGCACTGGGCCTCTTTGGCCTGGCACAGACAAATCCGCAGGAATTCTCTCAAACTCGTGAATACGCTCCTCCGAAGGTACGCAGAAACAATTCTTTTCTTTCCTTTTTAAGGATCGAACAAATATCTGTGTCAAGTGGTCCTGTCTTTCAGCAGCTTTCTCTCGCAAGGCACACTAAATCTGGCCGAAGTTGACAATTCGAAGGATCTCCGGATCATAGAAGGAGGGCGTGGGAAAGTGGCAAGAAACTAATGGGAAAAAGTTGCGGCTGTGGGGACATCTTTAACAGCAGCTCCATTCTCCATGAACAAGACCCCGGTTCCAACTGCAAGTCAAGACCAGTAACAGCTTCCGGCCCGAGCTTGGAGGGCTGGAATGAACCCAAGCAAGACAAACCAAAGAAAGCAGCAAAAATATCCCACCAGTTTCAAGGTTTGCGTGGTCAATCAAGAAGCGCAAGAGCATTGGCAACCTGCGAGTACCTCAGATGAGCTTGCCATCGTTGAGCCTGCGCACCTGATGGCCTGATGCCTTCGTGGGCATCACGACTCGCGACTTTAAGCAGCTCAAGAGGGAAAAGCAGGCAAGGTTTCGTTTTTCTGGGATGGTAAGTCTTAGGCGGTGATGGTGTAGCCATGGCGAGAGTTTTCATAGCGATGGTTCTCCTGGTTTTTGGTCTCGGGATTGGTAGCATCAGCTGCGACAGCGACGAAGAAGTGCTGCTAGCTTTGAAGCAGGGTCTACTCGATGGCAGTGGAGCGATGAGGAACTGGATCGCAGGGACTGGGTTTTGCAACTGGACAGGGATTCAGTGTGACCAACAAGATCATGTCGAGTCCATCATCTTGCCAAACAGGCTCCTCCAGGGAAGTCTTACCTTGGAGCTGGGAAGGCTCCAGCATCTCAAAGTTCTCAATTTGGAGCTCAATAACTTGACCGGGAGCATTCCACAAACTCTGGAGAATTGCTCGTCGCTGGCAAACATCTCGCTCGGATCAAACCAGCTGAGTGGTAGGATTCCTCTTCACTTGGACAGGCTTCCTGGGCTTCAAAGGCTTGACTTGTGGAACAATCTCCTCCAAGGACCCATCCCGGCCTCCCTAGGAAACGCTACCAGGATCGACTATTTCAGCCTCGGCCAAAACTTTCTCTCCGGGGCTATCCCTCCGGAGCTCGGCCGGCTTTCCAGGTTGCAAATCCTTCGGCTCTTCACGAACAACTTTGTTGGATCCTTCCCGGTTTTCTTCACGAACTGTACAAACCTCCAGATCATGAGCATCAGGAACAATTCTCTCACCGGTTTCATACCACCCGAGCTCGATCGGCTTGTTCTTCTCCAGCAACTTCGCATCCAGTCCAATTTTTTCGAAGGCTCCATTCCTCCCCACATTGGCAACATGACCAGCCTTTACTACATCGACATCTCCAGCAACAGGCTCTCGGGAAACATTCCAAGAGCTCTCGGCTCGCTCGCAAACTTACAGGAGCTCTATCTCAACAACAACACTCTCTCGGGAAGGATTCCGGAAGAAATGATCGGATGCCGAAGCCTGGGAACTCTAGACTTGTCACACAACCAGCTCGAGGGTCCTCTTCCACAAAACATTGGTAGCTTTGGCCTGACCAACTTAACTTTGGATCACAACATCATCTCCGGGAGCATACCACCAAGTTTTGGAAATTTGAGGCTCATCAACTTGGATCTCTCGCACAACCGCTTAAGTGGCAGCTTGCCTTCCACTCTTGCCAGCCTCAAGAACATCCAGCTCGCGTTTAACTTGGCATATAATTCCCTCAGCGGCAGGATACCAGCTTGGCTTGGCGATTTCCAGGTGGTGCAAAACATCTCTCTCCAGGGGAACAACTTCTCCGGGGAGATCCCCGAGAGCTTGGGCGATTGCGTGGGCTTGCAGTCACTGGACCTCTCGTTGAATCGGCTCACAGGCTCCATCCCAAGCTCGCTCGGATCGCTAAGGTTTTTGGTCTCGTTAAATCTCTCCATGAACGACCTCGAAGGTCGTGTTCCCGACGAAGGCTCTCTAAAGTCGTTCACGGAAGAATCGTTTGCTGGAAACGCACGACTGTGTGGAGCCCCAGTTAACAGGACGTGTGATTCCAGAGAAGCTGGTGGTAACAAGGCAAGGATCATCATCATTTCGGCTTCCATTGGTGGTTCGTGCTTCGTGGTGATTTTGGTCGCGACTTGGTTGACACTACGTTGCTGTTTCTCTCGAGATAATCCAGTCGCTATGGCAGAGGGAGATGATCACGCCGAAGAGCTACGAGAATATGCCGGGCCACTTATGTCCTTCACAGCCGAGGAACTTCGAAACATCACGGATGATTTCTCCCAGGAAAATCTCATCGGTGTTGGTGGCTTCTGCCGCGTCTACAAAGCCAAACTCAACAAAGAGTTTGTAGCAGTCAAGCTCTTACGGCTCGACATGGCTGGTAACGAAGTGAGCAAGAGTTTCTTCGCGGAAGTGAAGATTCTTAGCCAAGTGAGACACAGGAACCTTGTTCGATTGCTGGGACATTGCTGGTCGAGCCAGGCCAAAGCTCTCGTTCTCGAGTTTCTACCCAATGGAAGCCTTGAGCAGCATCTTAAAGGTGGCACGCTTGACTGGGAGACGAGGTTTTCTATCGCTCTCGGCGTGGCAAACGGGATGGTTTACTTGCACCAAGAGTTTGATTCACCGATCATACATTGCGATCTAAAGCCGGCCAATGTTCTCTTGGATCTGGACTTCCAGCCCCACGTCACAGACTTTGGCATCTCAAGGATCGCTCAACCGGACGAGCATGCAACGATCAGTGCTTTTAGAGGCTCCATTGGATATACTCCACCTGGTATGTACTATATCAAACTTGTATCGATATCCATTGTCCTGACAATGTGTTGTTTCTGTGTCATTTTCCAAGAATATGGAAACTCTGCGAGCATTACCACCAAAGGTGATGTTTACAGCTATGGGATTCTCTTGCTGGAGCTAGTAACAGGCAAGTCTCCGACGAGTGGAATGTTTGGAATCACTTCCACACTTCAAGAGTGGGTTCAAGACTCGTTCCCTTTGGCAGTCTCCAAGATTGTTGATCCTAGGCTTGGATCACAGTCGCAATATTATGAGCTCGAGATCCTGGAGGTGATCAGGGTCGCTTTGCTATGCACTTCGTTTCTTCCAGCAATGAGACCATCAATGCGACAAGTTCTCAATTCCATCGCGAAGCTCAGATGTGACCAGCAACTCAAGCCTATAGGATCACTCATTTCCTCTCCAAGTCCATATACATTTCCCGGAAGACAAAACTTTGAAGCACACTCTGATAAGCTATAGCTAATGAACAGAAACCGAGGAAAAGCTCCATACCTTTATGAGAGTGACATGCCAGGTTTTCGATCGAATCCTTCTCCGCCTTGTCCATGTCATTCCTTCCGACCAGAGCCGCATTTCTAGCAGTGAATCCGATAGAACCCAATCTCGCGCTATTAGCTTATAGAACTTTAAACTTCTATTTGTTAAAGACAACCGATCTTAGCTCAGTTGGTAGAGCGGAGGACTGTAGTGTTTGCTGTTCAGAGATCCTTAGGTCGCTGGTTCGATTCCGGCAGATCGGAAATTTCTAATGCAAAGCAATTGCTTTGCAATGTTTAAGACCTTTTATCGCTCTTCCTTCTTCGTTTCTTTGGACGATCATCTTCGACAGGACTTGATTGTCTCGAGTGAGCATGATCCAGTCTATTCTCAACGCGAATGCTGGGAAACGCAGCTTCAAGGGCACCAAAGAATCTTTTCCATCCCACGTAAACACCCTCGATCACCATCGCAGTGATGTCCCTTGGGACTTCATCGACCGAGCCCTGAGCAATCCGGAAACATTCCAGGTAGTCATCCCTGTCCACGAAATCGGGAGCCTTTCGCCAGCTTCCTCGAGCCTTGTCAACCAGAAGAACATTGGGAGAAACCATTGTCACACTCTGCAAGATGTGTGCCAGCATGATCCTTCCAGTTCTCCCGTTTCCATCCACAAAGGGATGGATGCTCTCGTACTGGAAGAAGAACCTCCCGCCGAGTTTGAGTAGCTTCGTGATTTTGTCTTCCTGTGATCTGCTGCCACTGAGAATTTTGCTGAGATCTCTGCTCGTCTTCCTCACGAGACCCCTGAGCGCTGAATCGATTCTCTCGGGTTTCATGAAGAAATGCTTGCCGTCTTTGGTGTCTACATAGACAACCTCGGATAAGTTCCTCAATCTCCCCGCGATGCTGGGACGAGTGAAACAAAACATCGACTTGTGAGACTCGAGAAGCAAACCAATCCCTCCGCTCCCAAATTTCTCCTCGCCCGGTCGAAAGAACCATGGAACCAGTGCTTGATTCAGCCCCCAGACGTTCTTGATTCTCTCGTCACAGTCGTCGTGCATCTCCATACCCAGGACTCCATCCTTGTGAATTGCTTGTTGGGTCTCCTGCAAGGTATCAAAGCCTTCGCCCTCGATCTTGTTCACCTGGAAGAGCCATTCTGTGGTGGCTCGAGGTGAGTAAACCTTCGCTGCCCAATCCTTTTCTGGAGCTCCTAGGTTCTCGTACCTTGAGCACATTCGTGTAATCTCTTCCACCATAGCGCTCGTGCTCATCCCCTTTTGCCGCCAGAAAGGCTTCTCTCTGTACTCCTCCATAGCAGACCTAATTGCGTTGCTCTTATTTTGCCAGCTTTTTATAGTTCAAAAGGTTAAAAGTGGAGAATTCATAATTACATTTTATTACATAAACAATGGTTTCTCCCATTCTTCTTTTGGTTGGTGCCCTTCATGCTCATTCCATGGACTGGGTAATGTCAGTAGCTAGATGTGCATGTCACAAAAAGGTGATCATTTAATAAACATAGAAGGAAGAGTAATTAAAGGTAGTAACCTATGTAAAAGTTTTTTTCCTATATAAATGTCAAGTGAGAGCAGGCAAAAACTTATAAAACTTATTGTTCATTGGGGAAATATATAAATTTCTGATCTGCCAGTTCTTAAGGGTATTTGAAGAATTAACTTAGATAAAGTTAAAAAAAGGTAAATTAAATGTAGATAATAGTTTCACAAAATTTCCAATAGAAATGAGATAATCTAATCCACAAAGGGTGCCAAAGATTTATCATAGGTCTTATAAGTAAATTTTAATTATCATTTAGATAATAAGATTACTATGGGAGAAATATTATTATTAATGTTCTTTAAAAAAATTATAATTTTGAATTTGTGTTAAAAAATACATTAATTTAATAGCTTATTAACTAGTTTTATATCATAGATAAAATATCTTTTAATCTATTATTATAAAATATATTCAATTTAGCTATTATTCTAGAATTTTAGAAAAATTTAATTTGCCTTTGCCAATTCAAAACTTTAAAATGCTCATATATCTATATAAACTAGTAATATGGAAAAATTAATTGTATTAAGTAATTTTTTACTTAATGTAGCTTTATAATTTTTAAATTTATTGTGGTAGATTATATCTTTTAAAAATATTTCAGATTATTATTCTAAAAACTCATATGATATAATGAATAGTTAGAAAAGAATGATTTTGAAAAAAGTTCAATTGAAACTCATTGCTTAAAACATTGACATTTCACAAAGTGTTTTTTAAAAGATTTTAATAAAGAACATAAAAGTTAATTGAAAATTTTGATTATTGAGTTTTTCTGTTTAATAATTTTTTATATTTTATTAATATTGGAAAATAGTTATTAACATCAAAACATTAATAAAAGTTTACAATAGATTAAAACACTTTAATCTATTATGTTCAACTAATAGCATATAAAAATTAAGTTTTTAAAAAAACTAAAGGTCAATTCTTAAATTAAAAATATTATCTTTTAATACTAGTTTGAAAAAAGCCCACAAGACAAAACAAATTTATAAATTAATATAAATAATATATTTTTAAAAATTATTATTATTTTTATTTAAAAAAGATGTTAATACTAATATTCATTCTCCATGAGATAGTATGCATTAAATTGAAAAACATTAATTTCAATTAAATGTTTTTTTGAGAAAAAAAAACATAACTATTAAGAATCACATTTTTATTATATTTAACTCACTACTCTGGAAACTAACTACATCAGTATATGACAAGTTGAAATGTTCTTTACTTTGTTTTCAGAAAATGTGAAAGTTCACACGAAAGGACAGATCTCAAAATCATTAAGATCTCAAAAATCCTTGAGCATCTCCTTGGTTTGCTCCAGCGTGATGAAGAGCACAACCGCAAATGGACCTTGCCGAGCAAAGCACGGAAGTAACCCCTTGTACAACGCAAGCACTCCCTCCGACCGGATCGTCTTCATGGCACAATCGATAGCATTCCTGTACGGCGGCGTCTTCCCAAACACCACCTTCATGTTCATCACCCTCGTCTTGATCACGTCGATCGGCTCCGACACCACCGACGTGAGAAACCCCGACGTCAAGCTTGCCACCAGGTGCGTGGCGATGCCCTCGTTGGTGATCTTGTAAAACGCCAGCGTCTCCTTGACGTGGTCGTAGCTCGCAAGCTGCACCGCGGTGACGATCATCGCCCTCTGGACCGTGAGAGAGGAGCCCCTCCACAGCGACAGGATCCCCTCGTTTCTCACCATCTGGGAGAGAGCGTCGAAAGCGTTCCTGTAGCTCCTGCGTTCTTTCGCCGGGAGCCTACCGTCGGCTTGCATTCTCACCATGACAACGTCCGCGGGATTTCCAGCTGCGGCACCGATCCCTCCGGCGATCAGAGCAGCAGCAACCTTCTGAAAGAGTGGAAGATCCGCACCACCTACAACTCCGCCACCCGAGCCACTATCGCCGCTCAACCTGTGCTTGAGCATGTCGTAAATCCCCAGCCTCGTCGAGGCGTATAGAGTCTGTCTCAGCATTGCCGCTGACACACCAGCGTAGAGTCCTGCAAATCCTTCTGCACGGACGAGCTTCGCTCCCATCACGAATGGATTCATGTAGCTTTCCTGCATCTTTCCCTGTTCTCCCTGGAGCTGCATTCTGACTTTGATCAAATCTAGCGGATGCGTCGACACTCCTGCTACTACTGAAGCTATCCAGCCTTCCACAAAGCCTTTCCATCCCATTCTCTCTACGCCAACCAGAGCCCTATTTCACAACTGTCGAGACCACCTCAATGGGAAGCGTTTTCCGCGTCGGAATCGCGAGGCCATAGATCTACGGCTGCGAAACCTTGTCAGTTTATTAAACTCAAAAAATCGTACCTTTGGTACCGCGTTACAACCCGGCCTCTTTCTGCTTGTCGTCGCTCTCGGCTGGATTCTCAAAACTCTTGCCTTCGGTGGCGGTGTTGAGGAGGTTGCCATGCTTGGGCTTGATGTGCCGGCCTGCACGAACTTTTGGTCCCCAGTTCTCTTCTGGATTGGGAAGGAACCGGGCAACGCCTTTCATTTGTGCCTTGCTTTGAGCACCACGAGCTCGAGAGAAGTCCGCCTGGAGCACACGAAGAGTTCATTAACAAAAATCTCGCTTAAGCTAAAAAATCTACGAAGCACCTGTAATTTAGCTTCCTTGCTTAAAATAATGGTTCCGGGAGTTTCTTCCTTTTGAGCTTTGACGGGGTGTTCTTTGACCTGCATACGACTTGTAAGAAACAAGAGCGAGAGAAAAGAGAGAGAGAGAGAGAGGAGCTCACCCAACAGCGCATGATATCCCATATCACTTCCATAGGCGCGTCAGTTTTGAAACCAAGAGGGGAGGCATGGGTTCCCGAGATGCGGTAGCCAGCATTCAAAACGGCAGAGCGGAAGACTATAGCCGAAGGAGGTGTACACTTGAGCGTTGCGCTCAATTCATGGATGCTCAGATAAAGTGGTACGTCTATTAATTCCTGCAAAAACACGCGCCAGTTATACTTTTGACTTCAAAAGCAAAATACTTTACCTCCGACACACTTGTTAGTATGCTATGAATTTTGTCAAACGCGGGATATCGCTTTTTTGCTTCACAAACTTGGGAAAGAATCGCGGATACCCATTCTGTGTCGTGAATAGGAGCGGCCCACATTGGTCCACCCATGTTGAAGTTTTTGCCACAGTGCTCACACTGCTGTTGTACAGTAGGCCCCAGACCAGGTAAATATCGAGTGCTGTTGTTCTTCATCACCAAAAAAAAGAAAGAAGTGTCAAATACAAAAGAATTGCGTCGATAGTACCTTCTGCACAATTCGACCCAAGGGTTGCAGGCAGAAATTGTCACATCCAACGCATTGATATACGTAAGCAAGCTTGCTGGGTGTTTGCTTCATTGCATTTGCCGATCTGTATGGTGCACAGATTCACATCAACTTAAACGATACGAGAGCTACTTACGTATATATGCGCACAAAAACTCTAATGTAAAAATCCACCGAAAGAGAAAGTACTGGTACTATATGTCTTTTGTATCTGTTGGCATGACTCTGAAGCTCAAACGTTAGAATAAAAATGTTACAAACAATAAGAAGACCACGAACCTCGATAGTCGCCAATAAAATTCGAAGAGCCATTTCATGACAATACTTTGCACGAAGAGAATAGCTCCCATACCTGTGACAACAAACATAAATACACATATATACTTGAATAAGCCCGTGAAGCATACTTGGAGTAGCAGACTTCTCCATTGTTACCACATAAGACAGCCATGTCAGTGGCAGTGCACATGAGCATGCCACCATCGGCGATTGTCTGAACCGCAGAGTCCAGAAAAATCGATGGCGAGCCGTATGGATCCAAATCAACCTGCACAGCTTTATAGAGCGCCGCATTCACCTGATGCAAAACTTACCACATCGAACTGTTTCTCATGAGTAAGCATATAAACCCGTGAATCAGCTTGCTGAGCTTCTACTTTAGATGCAGCAACAGATCCGTTCAGCTTGATATTTCTGGCGCATGCTTCCACCGCAACTGCGAAATAAAAACGCTCAAACACCTCTCATGTAGCACATAGTGGAAGCCTTACCTTTGTCACTGTCGAGCGCAAGCACGGAGGCAATACCTTCGACTTCTCGGGCATATCTCAAAGCGCGCAATCCCGAAGCTGCTAGAGCCTAGAGAGAACAAAAATTAAGAGAAAAAATAAACCAAGTCCGAGAAACAATGTACCTCGAGCACACGAATCGGCTTCGCGATGTTATTTTCAGAGCTAGAGGTCGCCTCCACTTTGGTAGAAGTTTCACCAGCACTACCATTAACTTCGACGACTTCTTCAGTCGCGGCCTTTGAATTCCTAGCTTTGATAGCAGCTTGTCTCGCAATGTGCTCCTCCTGACGCTTAGCTATAAACGATCGAAGCACCGCAATGGACATATCTCGGTTGACAACCTGGTAGAAGAACACACCGCTAAATCAAAGAAGAAAAAAAAACATATCACTTACTTGCGTCTTGTTGTAAAACACATCGTTCCCATGCTGTAGAATTTCCGCGTCGCCCTCTCGGAGAATTCGATACTCCGACACATCCACCTTGTGCTTGGTGTCCGGCGGTGCAGCTCCATTCCCATCCCTCTTGCGCTTCCCATTGTCCGCCACAGCCGGCTCTTCCATCTCGCCGCGAGAGTAAAGCCCTAGGCTTCCTTAAACCCTAAAGGAGGACCCTAAAACAGAGCACGGTTAACAAGATCAACGACACAGCTATAGTTTTCGAGGCTAATGAGAATACCATAGTCTGGAGCGATCGATTGTGCGATCTGGACGCCGTGATCCAGGAGACCAAAGTGGCTGCAGCAAGAGATCACGCTTGAGAAGGAGATGGAGTCTGGATTTACCCCGAGCTGCTGCATTCTCCGGAAGATCTCGAGGGTGCTATCGCCAGAGCGCCGAGATGTTGCTCCGATCAACGCATTCCACGATGATAGATTTAAATCCTCCTTCTTTCCCATGAAGTCGAAGAGGAGCGCGGCCGATTCGATGTCGCCGTTTGAGCTCAGAGTGTGGATCAGCGCGTCGCCAACGACACCATCGATCGACAAGTTCCAATCGCGAGCTACACCAAGAACAGCATGCATCGTCGTCAGTTCTTGAGACGGGAGCAAACTTACGAGCGTGATCCGGTCCGGAGCTTCGCCAAGTTGCTGCATTCTCCACAAAAGCTCCACAGCTCGATGATCGTGATGGTAGTTTTGTACAAACGCTGCGATCAAAGTGTTCCAGCTCACAATGTCCCTGTGGATCATCTCGTCAAAAACCATCACCGCGTCGTCCAAACTCTCACACTTACCATACACACTCAAGAGACTGTTCGCGATTTCCGTGTTGGATTCAAGCAGGCTCTCACGGATCCAGCCATGGATCTTCTTCGCAGCCCGGAGATTCGATGGTCCTGCCAAGAGTTTCAGAATGGCAAGAAACGTGATCCTGTTTGGAGACAAACCTTCAAGCAGCATGGCTTGGAAACACCGGAGAGCGCAGTGTTCTTCTTGCTGGAGGCCGATCATCAGATTCCATGAAACTAAGTCTCGGTTCTTCATCTCCCGGAAGATCACGCCAGCATCGTCTAGGCAGCCACACCTCGCAAACATACTGAGAAGTGCGTTAGAAACAATAGCATGGGCTTGGAAGCCACTCTCGAGAATGTGAGCGTGAAGGAGCCTACCATGGTCGATCGAAGAACACGAGCTTAAAGCCGTGACGAAAGTGATGCCATTGGGTTTGATCCCGAGCAGCTGCATCGTCTCGTATAGCTCTAGCGCGTCGCTGGAATGCCCACACCGGGCATACGACGCTAGCATGGAATTCCAAGCGGCTACCGCGGATGAATGATCGCCTTGCGCAAAAAAGATTTCTTCCGCGCGATCCACCCGGTTGAATCTGCCATACATGTGAATGAGCGCTACATAGACGAAAATATCCACCGCGAACCTGGATTCGTCGATCCAGGAGTGGATCGCTTCTCCTAGCTCGAGCCTGTGGCAGGCCTTGAGAACGATCGAAGCGGCGACTCGATCGAGCAGGATTCCTTCGCTCAGCATCCGCCTCAGCGAAAGAAACGCCGCTTCCATCTGGCCTTTCTTGGCGTGCTCCGCAAATAGACGCGTCCAGAACACGAGATTTTCTTGTGGACTGCCGATCTCATGCCCGCATTCTAGCCCAGAGGAGTGATTCAAGCGGCCGGAGGAGAGATCGCGGCCAGAATCTAGAGCTGAGAGGAATGCTACCTTGTCTGGAGTGGAGCGATCGCGGAAGAGCCTCAGCGCCCGGGCAATCTCATACCCTGGACCAGGAGCTTGGCTTTTTCCCTCCATTTTATTCGATACTCTCAAGAACCCTAGAAATATTTGGCTATGGATGGGGTAGTAATCGGGAGTAGCGCCACGCATCTTCATTCCAAATCGGTGAGCTCCAGCTCGGGATTCCTCCGCCTAAAGCAGCAGTTAGGTCTTGCCGATTCGCCGCTCGCGGAGAACACCGACGGCTACGCATTTCTCGTCCGGAGGTGCTCGCAGGCGGGATCGCTCTCTCTCGGCCGCCAGATTCACGCGGAGTTCCTGGCCAGCGCGCTGCTGGATCGATCCCACACCTTCGTCAACAATCTCCTGGTTCACATGTATGGGAGATTTGGGAGCGTGGAAGAGGCCTGGATCGTCTTCAACGGGATTCCTCGCCGGAACGAGTTCTCGTGGAACATCATGATGGCAGCGCTTCTCCACAACAGGGATCCCTCACAGGTCTTGGATCTCTACGAGAGAATGGGCGTGGAAGGCGTAGAGATGGACAGCTTTGCATTCTCCACAGCTCTAAGCGCGTGCTCGAGCCTGGGAGATCTGGATCAAGGCAGGAAGATCCACGAACAGATCAAACTCTCGGGTCGCAAGCTCAACACCATCGTCACCACGGCACTCTTTGACATGTATGCCAAGTGTGGCAGCCTGGAAGAAGCTAGCAGCGTTTTCTCCGCGATGAGAAGGAAGGACCGAGTGGCTTGGAACGCCATGCTTGCTGCGTATGCCGAGAACGGGCATGGCAAGGACACACTAGAGCTCTACTGGAGGATGGACTGCGAAGGTGTGAGGCCGGATAAGTTCACTTTCTCTAGTGTTCTTGACGCTTGTGCTGATCTCGGGGCTCTCGCAGTGGGAAAATCTGTCCACCAACGAGCTGCTGGCTACGACTTTGACGTGATTTTCAGCACTGCGCTGTTCAACATGTACTCCAGGTGTGGGAGCTTGGAGGACGTGAAGCTGATCTTTGAGACGCTGTCTAGAGGAGACGTTGTTTCATGGAGCGCCGTGATCTTGGCGTATGCCCGGACCGGGCATGGTCGGAAGGCACTGGAGCTGTTTCGCGACATGAATCTGGAAGGTGTGTGTCCTAACGATGTGACTCTCACCAGCATTTTGCATGCTTGCTCTCACACCGGTTTGCTGCATGATGCCAGGAGTTACTTTCTCACCATGAGCGACGACCACGGTATCAAGCAGACTCTAGAGCTCTGGGTTTGCATGGTGGATTCGTTGGGACGAGCAGGAAGGCTGAAAGACGCGGAAGAACTTGTAAGGACCATGCCGCTCTATCCGGATTTCATCGCCTGGATGACACTGCTGGGAGCTTGCAAGCTTCACAGGAACTTGGAACAGGGGCCTCGGGTCGCAGAGGAGGCACTGGAAATGCTACCGGAGAGTGCTTCTCCTTACGTGGTCCTCTTGAGCATGTACGCTCTCGCTGGCAAACACGACGAAGCCAAACGAGTGAGAAGAGCCATGGAAGAGCGGGGGATGAAAGAAACATCCGGTCGAAGCTACATCGAAGTCAGAAACAAAGTTCACGAGTTCGTGGAAGGAGAAGCTTCTTTACATCCAGAGACTCAGGCCATCAGAAATCTTCTTCAGGAGTTACATGAAGTTAATGCTGCGGAGGAAAGTGATCCATCGTCCGACCACTCCGAGAGGCTGGCGATTGGCTTCGGACTGCTGAGTACCAAACAGGGAACGCCACTGCGAGTCGTGAGCAACCTCAGTGTGTGTCCTGACTGCCACACCGCGGCGAAGAACATCTCCAAGCTCACGAAAAGAGAGATCACTGTCCGAGACTTCAGCCGCTACCATGTCTTCCGCGATGGATCCTGTACGTGCAACGATTGCTGGTGACCACCTCCATTTTCCTCCCTCAGAATCACAGGTTTGCAAAATTATTTTCAACTCTCTAATGCTACTAAACTCTTTTTTCCAGGACTTCGTGCAAAGCAGAACCAGCTCGTTTCTTTCTATACTTCTTTCTCTTCGTAAGGATAAGTATTGTGTTTCTTCTTGATTAGTTCTAACTCTTGAACTTCCAGGAGCTTTGCTTCTTTTCTCAAGCGTGAGGTTTGCCAGCCTTTGTTTTTTCTGCCACTTCTTTAAGGTTTGCAAAGCTCTAAGTCGTAACTCTTGGTTTTCCAGGAAGCTCTCCTAGTTCGTGCAAAGAGGAACCAGCTCTCTTTTCATTTCTTCTTCGTCGTGAGGTAACCGTGCTTCCTTGCTTCAAATCAAAGTGGTGAATATTCGTGTTTCATCTGTCCAGGATTCGAACTGCCCGAGTTAGGGTTGACGCAAAAAAGAGCCCTGTCTTTTGGGGTGACGTGTATGAGCGGAGGGCGGTTGGCGGCAAGGCAGCAGCGCGAAGCAAAGGTGAGCGCTTTTTCTTTTTAGCAATCGTAGCATGGCACTCTCTAAAAGTCGCGTTTTTTAGGCACATTGTGCGTGGAATGGAGAATGTAGCATGAAAGGCAGCGACACAGCCGTTTTACCCGTGCAATTTAAAAGGCTGGCTCCCAAAAGGTATGTTGAGGAAACCAGGCCTAGTCGGACACCTCCAGAGCACAGGAGGGACTCATCCAGGGCCAGTTCCTTGTTTCGTAATTTTGAGAAGGAATTGGTAGACACCTCGGCTCCAAATAGCAGCAGGAGGAACTCCAGCACGAGTTCAGCCAGCAGATTTGCAGAGACGAGCCGGCCATCGGCTTCTGATCTTCACGAACTTAGATATGGAAGGAGTAGCAGCATTTCCACGCAGTCCTCAACAACTCCTAAGGACGAGCCAGTTTTCCCAAGCAGGATTTCAGTCAGGGCTATAGAAACCAAAGACGAAGCTGACGGATGGAATGATTTTTCAACTTCCTCCATGCCTTTGCGACAGCCAGGGAAGAAACCAGGGTCTCGAGGCGGTGAAGATGAATACGAAGAAGGTGGCCGATCGAGTAGCAGGCTGAGCAATAGTGGGGGCTGTTCGTCGTCGGGAACCGGGCTCTCACAGTCATTTACTGAGATGAACTTGCGAACGAGACAGTCCTCTTTTCAAGACTCCCGGGGAAGTAGAAGCAACAGCTTGAACAGCAGATCTTCCATTCAGGGAAGGCAAGTCGCAGGTCTAGTGGGTCTGATGAACGAGGGGAACACTTGCTTCTTAAACAGCTGCTTGCAGTGCTTGGCACACACAGTCCCGCTCTCGTCAGCAATTCTAGGACCGTTTTCCGAGTTGATCCAAACCAAAGGTGCCGCAGCGAGGAGCAGGAGAGACACGGCTAGCTTGTCCGAAATGCTGGCTTATTCTTTTCGCCAGCTTCTCAAGGACCTTTGTGGAAAACCATCCTACTCGACTGCCAGTGCATCAATGCTTCTACAGAGCTTGCAAGGCTTGTCACCCCAGTTTGCTGGGAATCGACAACACGATGCTCAGGTACGAGATCTTCTTTCATTTGGTTTTTTGTTCCCTTCATATATCAAAATGCAATGCAGGAGGCGATGCGAACAATTATTGATGGGCTTCATGAAGCATTGAATCGAAAACCACCCGGGCGTCCAAAATGTCCAGAGCCTCCTCCCACAACACCGGAAGCGGAGATTGCAGATATTTGCTGGGAACATCACAAAATGTGGAACAACTCCGTGATTCAGGATATCTTCTGCGGTAAACTTTTTTGTTTCTTTATTTGTTTTTCTTCTTGATAGCTTACAATTTCCTGCCTGACAGGACAGCTGCAGAGTGCCATAGAATGCTCGGTGTGCCACAGAAAGTCGCATTGTTTTGATCCTTTCCTGGATTTGTCACTCCCACTTTCAAAGAGCGGTGGCTCTGATAACTTCAGGACCTTCGGCAGCAGCCGCTCGAGGATGACGATCGAGGATTGTCTCTCGGCGTTTGTCGCTCCCGAGACACTGGACCCGTCCAACAAGTACTATTGTTCCGGTTGCAAGGTACGTAGAGTTCATCCTCGTTATCAAATAATAAGGGAACTTTACACAGATGCATCGTCAAAGATCTACATCTCTTCATCCTCGTTCTCTTAACTGCAGGCTCCACAAATCTCTACCAAGAAACTCAGCATTTACAGGGCTCCTTCGGTCTTAGTCCTCCACATCAAGGTAAAAGTTGGCTTATAATTTCTTCAAGCAATCTCATGGTGTTCTCTTCTCTTTTGTTTCTCAGAGATTCTATGGTGTAGAACCACGCTCCTACAGAAAGGATGACCGGCCCGTTGTGTATCCTCTCAATGGACTTGATCTTAGCAGTTTCATGAGGTAAAAATTTCATTTTTTTTCGATTGGAAGACTGTTACTATAGCTTGATTTTTGCAGCACGACTGCCAAGAGGCATTTGTCCCAACAGCAGGCAACGTATGATTTATATGGTGTTTGCTCGCATTTTGGATCACTAGGCTATGGACACTACACCGCGACGTGTAGAAGTGTTGACAATGGCTGGTATTGTTACAACGATAGTAGCGTTACTTCTGTACAGGACCCGGTTGATTCTTCAGCCTACATCCTCTTTTATCAGAGGAGTTAAAAGGCAAGTTTTTTCTTTGTTTTATTTTATTTTGTACCAAACTTTTACATTTTTTTCAACTTTGTTTGGTTACCACCAGTTTTGGTACCTATTAGCGATATAATAAGATCTCTGGTAAGTTTTACTCCAGCTTGGGCACCACAATGAAATTTTGTTTAGTTGTATTAGCAATCGTTTCACTCACACAGGTAATTTTACGAATAGGTTCTTTACTTGTCAATAATTCCCTTTGTTTTTGCAGCTAGCTCTATCTCTAGATATAAATTTACTAAATTCCACATGCTATGGTTATAAACAAAGGTTGCTCGAATTTGATTTCTATCTTCATACCATTCGTACCGCGATCAACAGTTCTCTTGAAGTTAACGAAACTCCTGTGACAGGGCTTGCACGTCAATTCCCTCCATATAGTTTTGGCTATACTTTTGCTTTCAATCGCAAGCTAACCTCAAGTTTTGAGTATACGTCTCCAGAAATCGGTCGCATGGAAGGATACACTGCAGTTCCCAGCGCAGGCCAGGAATTTACTCAGGCCGATTTTAATTTTACCACACCAGCTTCTGGATATTTTACTGTGGCAGGGTATACAGATTTTACACTGTTAACGAACAAATACATTGTAAATGGAGGCATTGGAGATTTTGCATACTCAATTGGACAAGTGATTGTCACCACTGCATTTAACTACACAGGCAACAACTTTGTGTTTCTATGCAAAGCCTCACTTACTGTCCTCAAGCTTTGTTAGAAGAATAAGTAATAAAATCGAGAAAAGTTCTTATTCTTATTACTATTATTGCATGCTCACTCAAAATAATTCCAAGTTTATGAGTTTGTACCATACTATCTATTGTGATTTAACTAAATGAAAACGTACTAATTTTGAATAGAATTTAAGATTTTAATTTTTTTTTCTTAATAATAAATTATAACCAGGGTTATAATGGCGAAGCGCAAGTGGGGCGAGGAGGAGGAGAGCGTTGTCATGAACGTCCACGGCTTCAACAGCGCCTGGTCCTTCAATCCAGGCACCAAAGTTGACGAAGTGAAGAGCCTGGTATCCATGCAGTTCTCGGTGCCTTTCATGGAGATCTCCGTCGTCCAGGACGGATTGGTAGCACCAGCGGCGATGCAAAGCTGCGAAAGCTTGAAGCCCGGCCTCAAGTACCGCGTGGAGCGAAGCTGCCCTCGCCGCAAATCATTCGCCCTCGGCACCATAGTCCGGCCCTCCGTCAACTTTCACGTGAATGCACTTCCAGCGATCGCCGAGGTCGCGTCCATGCTCTCCCAAGGCAAGTACTGCGTGCTGTGTGGCCCGCGCCAGAGCGGCAAGACCACGGCCGCGCAAGCCGTCCGGCAGCGCCTCTCCGCGATCGTGGTTTACTTGGATGGCCTGTTCTTCCGAAAGGATTGGAGCGAGAGCAAGTTCTGGGGACATCTTTGGGACTCGTTGCACGCCAAGTGCCCGCAGCTCTTCAGAGCTCGCCCCGCGCAAGACGAGTACACCGACTTGAGCTTCCGGATGCTGTTTCTCAAGACGGCGTCGCAGATGGTCCCCGTGACGCTCATTCTGGATCGAGCTGAATCGTTGCTGGGTGCCTCCGCCGAGTGCCTTGAGAGGTTTTTCAGCACGCTCAGGAACATGAGGAGAAGGATGGGCGACTACAACTTGAAAGGATTGCTGCTGGTTGGGATCGAGACGGTGAAGGATCTCCTCGAAAGTCGGCGTTGTAACGATGGTTGCAGCATGATCACGCGCGAGCCATTTCCAGACGAGTATCTTGCAGAATGCCAAGGCTTCACGCGGCAAGAGGTGAAAAGGTTGCTGATCCAAGCAGCCGGCGAGCTCGTTCCAGCGGCGGCGCAGAGATTCGAGGTGGCGCGCTTGGCTGAAGCGGTGGTGGCGTTCACAGGCGGCCACAAAGGCTTAGTCGTGGTGGTACTCGATCGAGTGGTCGCTCACGAGTTTTTCAAGACCCAGGATCTCTGGTCACATCACAGCGACCTCGGTGCGTACGCTTTCAGTCGAGCTGGTTACAAGCGGGCTCTGGAGAGATTCAAGCAGCGAAGCAGTGATCTCCTCCAGTTCCTCCAGACGAGCGGCCTCCAGTGCGATGCTGGAAAGGTGGCGGAGTTTCGAGAGCTCATCGCCGACGGCGTTCTTGCGGCGAGGGAATCGCCACAACAAGATCATGGCGGCCTGAAGTACAACCTTCGCATTTCATCGCCAATGCTCCGGAGTCTCATCTTGCGCCGCTGCGTGATCAAACGACAGGGGACGATCACAGGCCCAGCTCCGGATCCTCGGGTCCGGCTAGCGAGGGAGTGGCTGATCATCCAAACGATCAAGGCTCTGGACGGGGCGACGATGTGCGGCGATGAGATCTCGCAGTACAGCCGCGAGTTCGCGTTCTTCGCCAGGATTAAGTCTGTTCTTGCGGAAGCATACCCTCTCGCAAATGCCATCGTCCTCGCTCACACGAAAGTATCAAAGGATGGGCTCGCGCTGCTCGACGAGGAGGACTGTCTCGAGATTCAAGTCCGCTATGGTTTCGAGAAGTTTGGATTCGTGCTCGCGGTGGAGGGTGACGATGATTTGCAGGCCATGGCGCAGAGATACCACAAGAAGCATGGCTGCCAGGTATATGTGATCAGCTTCCGGGACGAGCCGTTGTTGATCACGCCGGTGAACGAGTCCGTGATCTTCGTTTCGGTGCGGTTTTGCGCGACTAGCGGGGAGATGACTTTCAAGAATTCGCAAGGGACTGAAACGAAGGTGGACAATCTGGCGTTGGAGAAGTGGGGCGGCGAGTTTTCCTTCGATGATCTCGTATAGAAAAGCTTTGCAATTCATTACTTTTAGAGCTTCATCTTACTTTCAAAGCCATTCTCTAGAGATTTAGTACCTCTCCCACCGCTTTCCACCAGATTTTTGATTGAAAAAATGAGCTCCCTATCTTCTAGCAGAGTTTCCACATGAGTGAGAGTCCCTGGATTTTTTAGAGTGAGTCAGAAATCTCGGCAAAACAAGCAAGCATTGACTTACTGAATCTCCAGTAATGCTTTGGATTCGTTGGATCGTTGATAGTTTCCTCGTTGGCCGGTCGGCCTGTATACTCCTCCTTGAGAGCAAGAAGGTCCTGCAGCACAAGTCAACTTAGCAAACTTTTAGAAACTTTGCAAACGTACCTGGAGAGGGAAAATGGCCCACATTGACGGCGATTTCATGTGTTGTTCGATTATAACTCGCGCCACATCTGGTACGCACTGAGCAGGAGGGGACTCACTCATTCCCAGATAGTCTTTGTAGAATCGGATTCGTCTGCCTTCGTCATCCTCCCACCAAGCACGCATAGTCGAGCAGTCATGACACGAAGGTGCACAGACCTTGTAAACACCGGCAAATGTCAGGGATCATGTTGTTGGATGCTGTGATTAGTTACCGTCATGTATTCGTATTCCAGTGGATTGCCAAACTCCTGGCCTGGAGTGCTGGGCATCCGTTGGATCCTCAGTCCAAGCAGGCCAAGCTCGTTAAGAACCTGGAAAGTTTTTGCTTTTTAGTCTTACAATCATTGGAATACAAGTTTGCTTACCGGAGCAACGCATGCCGGGACCATTCCAAGGTCCTCTCCACAAGTTAGCATTTCAGACGAGCTCATTAAAACTGGAAGCGTTTTTAAAGCGTTTTCGCGCCAGAGGCCTTCTTGCCTGTGATAGAAGTAGTCATAGTACAATCTCTGCAAGACGTTCTTGCTGCATAGAGCAAAACCACCGAGTCATTTCGAAGAAGGGAAGAAAAACACTACACTAAGTACCTGTGCTCGTCAAGCTCCTTGAAATTTGATGTGTCCTCCATTCCAAATCTCGGATAGAACTTTCTACTGTCCTCTGGGTCCCTCATCAAGACAACGTCCTAGATATGCAAAAAGAGGCTCTAGAGAAAACCGGTTAATTTCCATGATGCTGCTTACACGTAGAAGGTCGAACAATGCACCCTTGATTTGTTCCTGCTTTTTCGAGTCTTCAAGTTGACTAACAGCTCCAAGAATTTTCCTTTCTGTATCGTACTCTTTCTTGAACTGCAAACACGCCGGTTAGAATTTAAGAGAAATGCGGTGAAAGGAGAAACGACACCTTGTAGCACAAATGTTCGTACTCATCAAAATACTTGGACGCAATCTCAGACCACGCGTCTCCAAATTTTGCCTGGTAATGGGAGTTAGAGCGAGTGAAACATTTTGATCAAGCTCACTTGCAAAGTATGACATCGAACGTATGGTTCGCTAAGACGATTGAAATCCCAAATTCCTTGTGCTTCCAGCTCTTCCTGCAAAATCAAGTTGTACATAAGCATTTCACTAAGTTGCCAAACTCTGTTTACCTGCGTCAATGGAAGCGACGGTCGAAACTTGCCCGTAAGACCTGTAACAGCGTGCGCAGGCAGCTCCCAGATGCGAAAAAATCCTAGAATGTGATCAATCCTGTAAGCCGTGAAGTACTTGGACATCTGCAAGAAAAATGAGTTGTGTGGAGAATCTCAAATGTGTCCGTTCAAACCTGAGTTAAACGAGCTCTCCACCATGCAAAGTTATCTTTGGACATTTCTTCCCAGTTGTAAGTAGGAAATCCCCAGTTTTGCCCGTTCTTATCGAAATAGTCTGGAGGAGCACCCGTCGATGTATTCATTCGAAACAATGTGGGAAACACCCATGTATCCACACTGTTTCTATCGACACCAATGGGAAGATCTCCTTTCAAAACAACGCCATTGTTTCGAGCGTACTCAGACGCTTCAGTGAGCTGGGGAAAAAAAAAAAAAAAAAAACATTAAGTGGTAGAAAGCAAAAAGTGGCATATTTAATTAACAACCTGAGAATGAAGATGATACTGAAGAAAGTATGTGAAAGAGATCAAGTTGTAATGGTCAGAAGAAGGAGACACAAGCTTTTCTAGCTGTAGCAAAAGGCACAATTTTAATGATGTTTGTTTACCTTATAAGAGTAGTTTACCTTTTCAGGCGAAAATGTTGAAAAGCGACCCCATTGAGAATGATCAGCGGTGCCGAAAAGGTCACGCAAAAAGCAAAAAGCAGCAAATGGTTCTAACCAGTGCTGCAAAATCAGAAGCTTTAGACAAAGGATTTCCACAGTTGCTTTCCACTTCACCTTATTTTCGTCAAAGTAAGTCTTAAACTTTGAGGAATTAAACGCGGCTTCTTTTTCTATGTGAAAAATCTTTTTAGCTATAGACAGCTTTGTCTTCATGGTTCCTTCATAGTCAACATCCTGCATTTGGAGACAGTCAATAACTGAGTAAACTAAAGTCAGGCTAACCTTTAGATCGAGCTTCTTTCTTGCTTGGGAAATCTCGTCCTGTAATGCGTCATCAGTTTGCTATCACCCTCAAATAAATCAATCACCAAACCTGGAGTTCTTGAGGCAATCTTTCAGTCATGGCTTCCAAGCTCAAATAAAGCGGGTGTAGAGCGAATACTGAAAGTGAGCTGTGCAACGAAGGATCACTCAAATCTCAGGTGTGACATATTTACCTGTATGGATACGAGTCCCACCACATCCCGTGCACGGAAGTATCATTAACTGGTAGCAACTGTAGAAGCCTCAATCCAGACTTCACTGCTAAATCCACAAGCAGTTTCAGGTCCAAAAACTCGCCCGCTCCAACGTCCGCATGCGTCCTTATTGAAAAAACAGGGATGGCAAGGCCAGCACCTCTCCACAGATCACCCTGGAAAAAGTATGTGACTTCATTTTCAAAGATTACCAAGCCAACCTTGAAATGTCCATCCGATACTATGATCAGGGAAGATGGTTTTCTCCATGTAGAATCAAGTGACAACTTGCGGCCATCGCCAAGCTCGCACGTCACTTCTCCACGGAGATCTTTCAGAAAGTAGATGTACGTGCTTATGTCAAGGTCAACAATAGAAAATCAAGGAAAAAGAATGATGAAAAATGTAGGATATTTCACGGGAAAGTCTTGTTTATCGATTGCACAGCAGCCATGCCAGCTTGAATCGCCCGTTCTCGTAAGCTTAAGTGCTGATTCATAGTCCCAGCTTCCAAGAGAACTCGAACTTCCAGTAACATAAACCTGCATTAACGTTCCAGTTGTAAGAAAACCAAAAGGCGTATAGAGTGGTGAATTTTCTTACAGTTTGCCCATTCTCTAAGATGGAACAACTGAGCTGAAAGCAGACACCAATTTTTCCTGTTCAAACAACACCCTTTCTTTGAGAAACAAACAAATAAGCGAGAAAATAACGATGGAAACTATGATCCAAAAGCTTTAGAAAACGTACCACGATCTTTGAGGAGCTCGGCGCCATAGCTGCCGGTAGAGGGAGTACTAGTCTCCTCACAAGTGCTACTAGGCTTGGAGTTTCTAAAAATTGCGTCACGGAAAGCACTGCGTGACAGCAAACTCTCTGGAGAACAGCCTTCCTGTAGATAAAAATTCGCTACAACAAAGAAATTTGATCAAGAAAAGTACCTGCCAGAGATCATATAGATCAACAATGCTGCCATTGGGAATTCCATCCGGAAGAACAAAGCTCCGGGGAATTCCAGCCTCCCTCCTGACCGCATTGCGCTTGTCATCCACAACGCAATACGAGTAGCGCGCCTGGAATCCCTCGCGCACGGCCAGCTGCGCGGTCCAGACCAGCTCGCCGAGCTCCTCGTCGTGGTGTGGAACCATCGCCAGTCCCTGGTGGAGATTCCAGCTGCCGAGCGAGGAATGCGAACCTGTGACGATGAGATTCTGGCCCCATTGCGTGAAATATGGAATCCGGAAGCGCAGACTGACGCGCCGCGGCTCCGCTGCCCTCTCTCGATCGATCGCGCGCGAGGAATCCATCCCTGGCGCATCCATCGCGTCGCGCGGTGAATGGAGGACATTTCCCCATGAAAAGAACAAAAGAGCCTGGTATCGAACACGAGACTCATGACACTAGTGACACGTAGCACACTGGCATATGCACGTTAGCATAGTGGTATATCCTTCGAATATTAGGGTTCATGCGTGGAGGATTGCGCGCTTCTATCAGGTTTTCTTTTCCCAGAGCTATCGCCAGGGGCTGTGCAAGCCTTGGAGCTCTCGATCGAACCCAGGGGCTTGAAAATCCACGCATGGCGCGCAAATGCGGGGCGGATTCCGGCCGTGCCAGGCAAATCTACGCGCAGGTGATCCAGAACAGGGCTGAGATTGACGATTTCATTGCCGAGGAGCTCGTCCAGATGTTCATACGTTGTGGATCTCTCTCAGACGCCGTGAAATCGCTGGATGAGCTGCGAATCCAGAGCGTGGTCGCGTGGACTGCGACGATCTCGGCATTTGCCCGGCTGGGGCATCGCGGCGAGGCATTTTTTCTCTTCCACAGGATGCTGGTGGAGGGTGTTTTGCCAAACAAGGTGAGTTTCATATCCATTGCCGGCGCCTGCTCTAGCGAAGACGAGGCTGATTTCCTCTGTGACAGGATAGTCGAGCGAGATCTTCAAAGGGATCGTCTTGTCGGCACAGCTCTGGTGAATCTCTATGGCAAGTTCCAGAGGCTGGACGAGGCGTGGACGATTTTTTGCGCGCTAGAAGGAAGAGATCTTGTGTCGTGGAACTCCATGCTATCGGCGTTTAGCGAGCACCAGCAGTGGAGAAGGAGCCTTGAGCTTTTCAAAGCGATGCTGCTTCAAGGTTTGTCTCTGGACAGTATAACATTCCTCGCAGCGCTCAAAGCTTGTGCCAACTTACGGGATTTGTCACAGGCAAAGCTTGTCCATGGACAAATCTGTGAGAGCGGACTAGAAGGAGCGGACATGGTCGGGAATACGATCGTTGATACGTATGGAAAGTGTGGCAGTATCGACGATGCTCTAGCGGCTTTCGAGCGAATTCCAGCCAAAGACATCGTTTCCTGGAACGTCATGCTAGCATCTCTCAGCCAGAATGGAAGCTGTGCCGAGGCAGTAAAACTTTTCAAGCGAATGCTTCACGAGGGAGAGAGAGCCGAGAAAGTTACAGTCGCGACGCTGCTCCACTCTTTCGCGAGCCGGGAGTTTTTGCAAGAAGGTGAGCTTCTTCATGATCATATTGTCGAGCTCGGCCTGGATATTGACATTGTCATGGCAACCGCGCTGTTGATCATGTATGCCAGGTGCGGAAGCATGGATCGAGCGAGTAAAATGTTCGACACCATCCAGAACAGGGACGTGGTTCTCTGGAACACTTTCATTTCATCGCTCGCTCAAGCTGACCGCGTGAAGGATTCCTTCCAGGTGTTCCGAAGAATGCAGCTGGAAGGTGTTCGTCCAAACAAAGTCACATTCGCGAGCGTCATCGACGTGTGCACAAGCTTAAGTTCGCTGGCGGATGGAATGCTCGTTGCCGCGCTGGTTTTGGAGAGCGGACTTGGCTCCGACACCGTTCTCGGCAACGCGATCATCGACCTGTATGGGAAGTGTGGAAGCCTCGAAAACGCGTGGGAGGCATTCGACAGGATGGAGAACAAGGACGTGGTTTCCTGGACGACGATTCTCGGTGCTTACTCCCAGCACGGGCTTTTCAGCGAGGTGGTCGGGCTTTTCAACAAGATGCTGCTGGAAGGCATAACTCCGAGCACGGTTACGTTCGTCACGGTTCTTTACGCCTGTGCGGAATGCAAGGCTCTAGAGGTCGGGAAGAAGATCCATGCTCGTGTCATGGAGGCCGGACTGGAATTCGACGAGCTTCTCTCCAGTGCCATTCGGTCGCTGTACGCGGAGTGTGGCTACTTGGAGGAAGTTTGCAGAGTTTTCCACGGTAGGAAGCAGGAGCAAGAGGTAGCGGCTTGGAACGGGATGGTGGTAGCCTTGAGTAGACGGGAACTCTTCGACGAGGCAGTGGGACTCTATCGACAGATGCAGCTGGAAGGAGTTCCCGGGGATAAATTCACGCTGGTGTCGGTGCTGGAAGCTTGCTCGGAGCTCCCGCTCGTCAAGTCGATCGAGGCCAGAGCTCTAAGTTTGAGGTTGGAGCAGGACGACACGATCAACACGGCACTTCTCAAAGCGTACAGCCGGTGTGGAAACATGCGAGACGCGAGGAGAGCTTTCGAGAGAACTCCAAAGAAGGACGTGGTTGCATGGTCGGCTATGGTGGGAGCTCACGCTCACCATGGTTGTGGAGAAGCGGCACTGGAGCTCTTCCAGCTCATGCAACTCGACGGCGTCATGCCCAACGACGTCTCCTTCGTGAGCGTCTTCTCGGCGTGCAGCCACTGCGGCAGTGTGGAGAGAGCTTACGAGTACTTTGTGGGTCTGGAGCAAGACTATGGAGTGAAGATCACGGCCGAGCACTGGAAGTGTATGATGGATCTGCTGGGACGGGCTGGGCGGCTGGGCGAGGCCGAGAAGTTCTTGAGCAAGATGGAGTTTGAGCCGGACGTGGTGTTGTGGACGACGCTCTTGGCCGCGTGCAGTGTCCACGGGAACTTTGAGCTGGGGAAGCATGCGGCAAAGCGGATTCTAGAGCTCGACGAGGAAGACGACGCGGCTCACGTAGTTCTTACGAGCCTCCAGCATTCTTCGCAGAGTGATATCTTGGAGAGTGGCCGGGGATAGAACACTTTGGAGCAGAGGTCGTGACACGAAACTTTGCAGCACAGCCTACCAATCCAGGTTGTTTTGCAGCCAGTGCCAACGAAGAAGAGGTTTGGGAACACGATCATTGATAAGAGAGAGAGTCCTGTTCACGAGGATTTATTTCCAATGTTGGTGACAATCTTACGAGAATCTCTAGATTATATTCAGATGTTTCTCAAAATTTATCACATCTTGTGGCTGTAGTTTAGTGGTGAGAATTCCACGTTGTGGCCGTGGAGACCTGGGCTCGAATCCCAGCAGCCACATTAAACCCTTTTCAGTAACATTTTGTTTTTTGGTTTAGTTTTTTCAAAACTTTTCCTTTAGGGCTCTTGCGAAGAATGCTGCTCGGGAGTGCGGCAAATGGAAATGGAATCGTCGTCTTCAAACAATTCAACTCTCGTCAGCTGCTGAGCGGCAGGATTTCCAGCTGCAAAATTCCTAGCTCGCATTTCCCGCTGTCTAGGAGTCACTTAATTCGATGCGAGGCCGCCTCCAACGCAGGTACTCCACCTTCATATCTTTGATCATCAAAATCTCTCTTGTTCTTATTTTCCGATTTCGCTCCATAGCTGTGTCGAGCGTTCCTGGTATCGAGTGGGTCCAAAGAACTTTTGATCTCCCACCATATAAAAGGTATGTAAAAAGAAAAAATGCTAGGATTCTAATCTTTGCAATCCAGAGGATGTCACATAATCACTCAGCAAATCTACAAGGCCGTGCCGGAGATTAGAAACTTTCGAGTCGGCATTGCTCACATCTTTGGTAAGAACTCCAAGAGAATTGAATCGACGATGTTTTCTTGCAACTTTTTTGCTCTTGATCGATCTTGTGCGTGATTTGCAGTGATGCACACCTCGGCGAGTCTCACCATCAACGAGAACGCGAGCCCCGACGTGCCACTCGACATGGAGGACGCCTTAAACAAGATCGCTCCAGAGGTAAGGAAAAATTCTCTCCAGAGTTTCCAATCTGTTTTGCTCCTTGAAATCGTTCTTGAAGGGTCACCACTACCGTCATCTCGATGAAGGACTGGATGATATGCCGGGTGAGTAAACTTGGATGGTCATCTCCCTTGCAAACTTCGCGCTACGTTTTTTTCTTCTTCCTGTGAAGCTCATGTCAAATCTTCGATCATGGGTTGTTCCTTGAGTGTGCCGATCACCGCTGGGAGATTAAATCTTGGAATCTGGCAGGTTGAATGAGCTAGTGATAGTTTTTTGTCCTCTCCTTGAGTATATCGTGTTGGCTTTTCGTTTTCGCAGGGAATCTGGCTCAACGAGCATAGAGACTATGGAGGCAGTCGAAGGCTCTGCATCACAATCCACGGACAATGCTGAGTGTAAATACTACGAAGTGAAAAGCTTATAAGCAAAAGAAAACCATACCTGGAAGTTGTATACAAACAACCCGAGTCCGAAGGAAGATTTGGTTCTGCCACCATCTTTCTCTGTGAGATCAAACTCGAAAGTTCTCCGTAAATTCTGATCAAACAACAAGATCACAGACATTCCTAGTGTTTTTTATGTGGTTTCTGAATGCCACGCTTGTACCGGGTAATGGACAGCCAGTTCTGGATCTGTAACAAGAAAGTTCCACACAGGCTTTGCTAGAAAGATGCCACTAAAGAAATTTGGAAGTACCTGCTTGACCGTGAGGCCCGTCTGGGCTATGAGCTCCTCTCTCTCGAGAAGAGATGGATATGGATGATCGGAGTGTTGAGTGATCCAGGACTCGAGAATTTGGACTGATTGACGCGGCAGAGAGTACATGTTCTTGGGCCTCGAAAGTGGAAGAAGCTTAAACCTGCATGGATCATCGAAATCTCAAAGAAACGAATCGAGACTACGCAAAAGAGGTGTTCGCTTACCTGATGAGCTTCCTCGGCTTCGATCGCCTCGATCTCGCCTTTCGGACGGCCGTGTGCTGCCCCGCCATCGCCAGATAGAAGACTGGATGCTTCTCTTCCGGCTCGAATTCGCAGCTGATAGCCGAGCTGTCGGAACAGGCTGCTGGATCGCAATCGGCCTGGCGCTGCTGCTCCTTGCGCCAAAGTATATCGTCGGCTGGCGTCCAGTCGCAATCCGGATCAAGAATATCGCCGGCGCCTTCGTCCAGCTCTGGGAGATCGCAAATGTCGCTCAAGACCTGGCTTCCAAACTCCGGAAGCGATTCTTTCCCCGCATTCGCCTCCATCGCCCCTGCCAGAGAGCAAATCGAAGTGAGATTGGAGTGAAATATCACATCTGGAGCAGTAGAATCGCAAGATCGATAGAGAAGAGAGCGGCATAGTACCCGAGGCGAGAGAGCTCGCGAGGAGAGAACTGGAAGAACCCTACGTAAAGCCTTTGGCCAGAGAAAATTTGAAATGGACGGCGTAGATTCGCTTATTTGCGACGAACGGCTGGGGTGGCCTAGATCCGACGGCTCAGCTGTGAGCCAGTGAGCGGGAAAGCACCTTTGAGTACTTCTGGATGTGGTGCTTGGCTCTTGCGTTGGACATCCAGCTCTCGATCTAACAAAAACCACGAAAAAAATCACACCGATCGATCGATCGCGCGAAGAACTTTGTCTGGAGAGAAGAAGTAAAAGGAAAGATCACGACGTACCTGTTTGGTCTGCAATCCGGTTTGGATCACCAGATCGGTTTTCTCCTCCGCGCTCGGGTATGGATTCTCCCTGTTCGCGTCGAGCCACATCGCGAGGATCTCCTTGGCTCTGGCAGGAAGCTTTGCGACTGGCCTCTTCCTCTCGTATCCAGTCCGGCGGCGGCGGCGCTTGGGAGAAGCAATGGGTGGCGAGAGTGGTGGTGACATCTCGGACTCTCGACCGAATTCGTCCCTGGCACGCTTGGAGCTCGCGAATTTTGTGCTGCTTCTCTTCTTCTTGGGTTCGTGCTCCTGCTGCTGCTCGACTGGTTTGTAGGCCGAGTGGAACTCGGTGGCGGTGTCGCAGCACGATGAACTGTTGTTCACGGAGAGGCTGCAAGAGTCCACCACTGATTCCGCGAGTAGAGGCGTCGACTGATCCAGCATCGTGTAGTTGTCCTTCGAGAGTAAGCTGAGCTCCACGAACCGATCCAGTCTTGGGCTTTGAAGTTTCTTCTCGGTTCCATGATATCCAGGCACTGCTGACGATCGAGTGTCGGTCCATGTCCTCTCGCCGTCTAATTCTTCTGCTAGATCTTGTTCCCGATAGTTTCCTTCTTCCTCATGGATCTCGGTGATCTCCAGGCCGGGATGAGCTTGCATGTCGGCATCCTCGTAGAGGATCCCATCCTTCGGCAAGTTGAGTGCGTAAGACATTGTCGAGGACTCCTCTCGCATAACTCCACTCACCAGCGTTGGTTGATCGTATAGTCCCACTGGAAATAGCTGGAAGTCACCGCTACCGAGATCGCCACCATGACCTTCCGCCATAGGATCGTTTGGAAAAAGTGGAATCTCGCTGCTCAGAGAAATCTGTGCTTGCTGTGTCTCCAGCGCCTCCGGAATCCCATCCAGAGCCAGTAGAGGGATCTGCATTTGCCGGAGAGCCGCGTTGATCGCTGAATGATCACACCCCATTCCATCCTGGAACAATCCCCCGTGATCCTTGATGTTGAGCACGATCTGGATTGTGCTCTGCTCCTCGGTCCTCGCCGTCCAGCCCTGCGCCGCCTGATCAGCCGAAGCGAAGCACGCCGCGGTCGTCTCCATGAAGATTCCAGTCTCGCCGGCCTCGTTCCAGTAGGACGACTCGCCCTGTTCTTGCTGCGGCGCCGGCGCGGGATCGCGATTCACGAGATCTTGAGCGTCTTCCTCCGATGTCCAGGAAGCGAACTCGAAATAATCGTCCGCCATGGATACCGCTGCGCAGCACCGGATCGATCACGTAACGATTCAAGCGCAGAGAGCAAGAATCCATACCTTGCGCAGCATCGACCGATTCCAGCTCCAGGATCGGCAGCGCTGCGTCGTCCGCCTCCATCGCCACCAAGAAATGCCCGAGATATCAGGGTTTTCCCGCGCGAGCGTTCTAGGGCGCCCATAAACCCTAAAAACAGGGCCAGTTTTTAACCATGCAATAATTCCAGAACGTTGGAACAGGTAAAAAGATAAAAAATTGCGACGATCTCATCCTCTATGTTGCGGTTGTTTTGTCCGCGAAGCTCTCCACGAAGTTGCAAGAAACGTGGTGGCCCAAGCTAGCTAGGGGCGAAAGTAAAAACTCCAATTTACCTCCCTCATTTAAACTTTTTCACCCTGTAGCAATTTTCCTTGCTTCTTTGTCCTCCATCGCGAAGGTACCAGGAAGAATTGTCCACCCTATAGCTTTGTCCAAAAGTGTGTGCGCCCGGCCCATTCCAAGCAGCACGCAACATGGCCCATTCCGGGCGAAGAGTCGACCACGCAACCTACCAAAGGAGAGAGACGACCGTACCTATCAATTAATCAAGACCGTACTTATCTCTTTAGGGCTGTGATGAAGCTGCCAGGAAATTGCCGCGTCAGCTAGGCGATAAGACACTGCGATTTCCGGCACCTGCCGCGAAGGCGCCATTGGCCTTCTTTCCGGCAAGTTGCCGGTAGGTGCCACATTCCGGGGCATATGCCTGCCACGTGGTGGGCCCCGAACGATTTCCATGTGCGCAATGTGTGTTTCGGTTCAACGAGACCTCCCGCGCTAATGTAAAAGATATAGCGCTGGAAAGAAGGGCGTTAAAGAAAGGGCCAGGTGCCAGGAAACTTCTTCCCGTGTGCTACACTGGCGCTGTTATAAACATTAGAGAGCCCGGCCAAGGAAGCAATACACGAAGCCGGCCTAGGGTTTTATATTTTGGGGGTTCTTTCTCCGCCTTCCTCGATCGATAGCTAGAACAGGAGCGTTATGGCGGTGATTCTCGCGAGAATGGAGCTTTGATTCGCTAGACGAGCGAGAAATCGAGTGGATCGTGCGGGAAATTTCAGGATGTCGAGGGCTAGAACGGATTCCAAGCTCTTTAGAAGCACCGGGAGCGTAGGAAAGCCAGGGAGGAAACCAGCGGTGGGAGGGTCGCCTGTGGCAGCGGCCGCGGCGTCCTCCATCCCGGTCAAGGAGTCGCCAGATTCCAGCCAGCAGGTGGATCCGGATTTGACGAGAGCGCTCAAGCAGATCTTCGAGGTGAGGAACTGCAAGCTCAAAGATCACGGCAGCAGCCACAACAATAACAGTAACAGCAGTAGCAAGAACAGTAGCGAGGAATCGTGCCTGACTTTATTTGGGAGGAAGCTGGCCTCGCCGTCGTCCAGTCTGGATGGATCCGACGGGAACACGAAGAATGTGGCAAATCAGTACTCGCGGCAAGGGACGGACAAGCTCCCTCCTGCTGCCACGGCTCATCTTCTCAAGGAGCTCCACAAGCAAAGGCTCAAACAAAGGGGTAAGTTTTTCATAGCAGTGAAAATTATATCTAAACGATTTTTCGGTTTGGATTTCTTAGGAATCACTGCCTCGGCCAACGATTTCCCAGACATGGGCGAGATTGAGTTCGTCCACACTGAGAGAAGACCGGAAGTGTCGACGCTACCACTTCTCAACAATTTACAGGAGAAGAGACCTCTGGTAAGTTTTTGTGACTTGGATCGACGAGGAGACGAAGACTCATGGGTTGTTTTTCAGGAAAATGCCTCGGATTGCAGCCCTGAAGCAAAGAGGCAGCGGATCGAGAAGGATAAAAGCCTGGATCTGAGTCTTTCGGTGGAGTTTGGTTCACCAGATGAAGCAGCTCGAGATTCGAACAATACCCAAAGCATGGACATTGCTGCTGAGGAGGAGAGGTAAGACTTTTGAGGAAATTTCTTCTTTTTGTTAGGCAGTCGTGACTGAAGGTTGTTTGCTCTCTCAGGACACATGCAACCGTGAAGGATCCGGAGCAGCTCACACTCTTCTACAATGGCCAAGTCCTCGTGTACGACGACGTTCCATCCGATAAGGTGGGTTCCTTTGTGCCTTTTGCTATAGTGGAACTGTGTATTAACCCTTCGGTTTTTGCTCTTCAGGCTAAAGCGATCATGGTGTTGGCTAGTAGCATCAGCTCAAAGACATCATGCTATACTCCTTGCCTTGCTGCGGCTACTGCCGCTGCGGCGAAGGCTACCAGTGCTGCTACTGCTCCGCCTATCGTAGTTCCAACCACGGCAAAAGCATCTAACTCGTTGTACCCATCACCAAAGGGCACCACTCCGGCGGCAGACAAACGCTCATCGTCAAACGGTAAGCCCGTGCTTTTTGACTCCCACGCATCCGAGCTGACCTCGATCCTCCTCGCGTTACAGACGTCCAAGCAAGGAAGGCATCCATTAGCAGATTCCTGGTCAAGAGAAAAGACAGGTGTGTATCTCACCACCATCTCGCAAAGACCGAGGATCAAACTCGGTGTTTATGTGTGACTTAACTGACGCTTTCTGTTGTGCTTTCCAGGCTGTCTGCCAAGCCAGCCGAGAAGGCCGAGGCGTCGTCAAAGTCGTCCGCGAAAGACATATCGCAGCGCTCGAGAAGCCCGTCACCGGCAGCGTCGAGCAGTCCCGTGACGCCCCCCAGGGCCTCGCCTCCCAGGCTCGTCGACGAGCTCAAGCTCCAGCTAGAAAAGGGGGAGATGCTCAAGAGATCCATCCCGGCAAATGCTGGATCAGCAGCAGCAGCAGCAGCAGCACCGAGGCAGTGGATTGGTGTGTAGAGGCGGTGGAGATGATTCGCAGTGCCAAGTTTTAAAGGTTTTGGACTGTGGAAGGCAGCAGCAGCAAGCTAAGAACAGGCCAAACTCAGTCACACACACACAGACACTCTCCTCTTTACCAAGTGAGAAAACAAAGAGAGTATAGCTTATATTTGATACTTATAACTCTTCTCTTCCAAAATTCTTGTGTATTTCTCTCTTTCTTTCTCTAGTTTTTTTCTCATCTGGAGAGCATATTCGCTTGATGGATGGATGGATGGATGGAAGGTTGATCACAAACAATGCCCTCGGAAAGATTGTGGAGGGTTGCTTTGTATAGAACAGACAAAAGCAAAGAAAAATTCTTTGATTAAAACTCTTTGAACGTTCTTCCAAGCTTCTAAAAAATGGGTTGTTTGGCGATCGCTCTCTGTGGATTTGAATAGATCATTCGCAGCACGAGATGTTTGAATGTTTGAAAGTTTGACACTGGGCTGGCTGGTGCTCGCTGCTTCCAGCGCGTGCGCTGGTCCTACCATTCCAGACTACTAAGAATTTCTCTCTAGTTTAAGGCTGTGTCCCAAAAAGGCACATTTAGACCGGCGCTTTCTCTGAGGGGGCGGGGGTGGACAAAAGTAGGGGCGTGAGTGCATGGAAGCTTCGACGTTTGGTTGGCTAAAGTCGAGTCGCCACACTAGGAGTCAGTGTTTTGCGTTGCGCCAACGTGGAAGGAGAAGAGAAAAAGATTGGGTTTGAGTGGCCCACTCACACTATAACATGCACATACTCTCTTTTGCTATTGGTCCACCACCAAATTTTACACTTCTATGCAAACATCAGGTATATAACTATGTTGTTTAATTTTATTAACAAGGAAAGATATTTGATTATACTAACCAAGATATATAAAAATATCATAATCAGAAATATAAAGTTCTTCTTCTGAAGATATTTTGCATGAACCATAGAGCAAAGTAATAAATTTTATTAAAACAAAACTAAATGATCTGACTAATATTTGTGTTCATATTGCATTATCTCAAAATCTTGACATTGCAAAAAACAATAGCTTCAACAATTATATATTATAGCTTATAACTAATTCTAACTAATGCACTTTTACCAAATAAATGTGATTGTAAAGAAAAAGAAAATTAGTTCAAATATTAAAAATTAACTCTTAAACTATTCTTATTTAGGCTGAAAAATAATATTTACTCCAGAATCTGTCTACTTCTAGAGAATATTTAAGTTAATAATTTTTATATTATTTTGAACTTAAAGTTTTTGTTTTTAAGATAATTTTATACTGTATATAAAAGTGAGGTATAATTTCCTTAATTCCTTACAAAAACAAATAAAAAGAAAAATATAAAAACTAATTAGATATCATTTTTTACTTAATATAATTAAATTTATAAGTCTTGGGATATAGGAATAAGTATATTAATTGGGGTTTAGACCCCTACTTATATACAAGGATGAATGGATGAAATTCAGTCCTAAATAAAAGATCTATATACTATAGTATTATAATTAATGTATTACCTGTGTATATATATATATACACACACACACACACACAAATCTTACACCATCCTCCCCTCTAAAAGATGAAAAAGTGATGATAATAAATCAAGTGGAATATCTAAAGTTTCTATTAGATGATTATAAATTACTATAAGAATTTGAAGTTCTCACAAAACCACCAACAAAATTGTTGATAACCATGATTGAAATAAAACCCCAAAACCATGGCATAAGCATCAATTAATTATAGAATCATGGTGAACCAATTGCAACTCCATATGCAACTCCCAAATGTTCAAACCAACCATACAATTATAATTTTGAATCAAAGAAACTTTGAGAGCTACTACAATCTATAGAACACCATTGAAGCAAATAATACATTCTATCATTAAGTTTTTCTATCGACAATCCTCTAAAACCACCATTAATTTGAACTTAAGATCATAAGCAAAATCATTGTCCTTATCTAGCACTGCATATGGGAGGTTAGACTCACTCTATTTGTTTTCCACATCCTTTTTATCCCCTTCTCAAAGAAAAAAAAGTTCTAAAACTTTAGCTCCATTCAAATTTGTTGTGTTCATATTCACTCTACCATTTATGTTCATCCTCACTCCACCATTGCATTTGTTCGGCATTACTACATCAAAGCTAAATATTTTGTTCAGACTGCTATATTTATCCTCACTCCACAATCCATGTCATTTGTCATTACTCCACTACCATATTCACTTATCCTCACTCTATCATTAGGGTTGAACTCCCATCCGTCCCTTCTACCCCCTCCAAAGAAAAAAAAGTTTGAAGTGTCGAGGTAGAAAGGAGAAAATGAAAAAAACTTAAAGAAAAATAATTGTGAAAGAAGAAAAAGTGGATAAAGAAGCATCAATAGAGGAAATAACAGCTGACAATGTAAAAATAAAGAAATTAAAAGGATATGTGCTCAAAGTTTGGAAAATAAGGGATTTCTTATCATAAAATACTTCAACCACCACAATATAAGAAAAATATTCACACTTTTCAGCCTCTTCAACATATAACAAAACTTTTGAGATGGGAAAATTAATAGAAATATCCACACTCTCAATAAAACACATAAACGCCTTAGCACCAACAATAAAATAAAGGCTCTCAATAACACTTACAATTAGGGACATGCACTCAATTTAAAACTTTGGCCAAAGTGATTCAACCCTTGGAATAAGAGAGTACTCAACGTTAAAACTGATCAAAGTCTTTTCTAATACAAAAAAAACAAGATTTTCAACTTTATACACATACTTAACATCTAGATTAATATGAAAAGGACATAACACTCAACTCAACATTGGATTAAGAATGAAAATCATGAGAGTCACAAATGATCAATGTGCCAGGAGAAGAAAACACTGCAAATGAGGAAGAAATACTAAAAACATAAGAAGGTGGCTGAAGCTGAGAAATAAAAAAAGATTGGGAAATAGCAAAAGGTAAAGAGAAAAGATCAAATGGTAGATTAAAAGATTGATACCTACCTTGTGAACTCTTCACTTCATCTCCAAAGTTATCTCCATAATAATCAAATTTGTCATCATAATCCAAAATCCACTTTAGCTCATACACATTATTTTCCCATAAACTTGATAATTAAACATTCTCCAAGAATTGGATTTCATCATTCATAGTTCGCTAATCAATGTCATCATCATGCTCCACATCAGAGATAGTAGAACATTGAGAAGAGAACAAATTGTGTAATCATATCCTATGGAAGTTAGAGACAACAATACACTAAGGGTAAGTGCAATACCAACATAAGCACACCCCACAACATTAAAAGTTTAATCCAATGGAGTACCATTAGTAACTTCAAGCTATATACTCTTTAATTGATGTGGCATGGTAGAAGAAAAGAATGCAATGAAAATTAAAAAAAAAAGTAGATCTAAGCATAAAGATAGCTAAAGTTCTAGATCTTACAAAAAACTATTACATATTTAAATCTAAAAAAAGAATGAAGGAATAAAAATAAAAAGCACAATTTTGAACACTAAAGCAAAACACTGCCCAAAAAACTTTGCCCTTCAAAAATATAAGAATAGATATATTAATTGGGGTTTAGACCTTTGTTTATATACAAGAATGAATAAACTATATTCAGTCATAAATGGATGGTCTATATGCTATAGTATTATAATTAGTGTATGACTTAGTCAGGGTAATACATATATATATAAATATATATATATTTACAAACTTTACAGATTAAAGTATAAAATATTATAAATTGGTGGTATTGTGTTACTTTATTATTTCATGTAAAATAAAAAGAGGTAATAAAACAAATATATCTTTTTTATTATGTTTACAATATATTTTGTTACCTTTGCAATAATTAAAACCATCTTCAATAATAAAGGGTTACAGTTTAAAACAGTTACAATTTACAGTTTAACCTATCCAGGTTAAACTGTTTAAAACTTTATTATTAACCCTCTAAGGGTTTTATATACAGTATGAAACCTAAAACATATCATTATTTCAAATTTTTATCATATGGTATACCACATCAAATATAAGTAAATATATTACTTACTTCAAAGAGTAAGTCAAAGGTTATATATATATACTTGTTAACTGCCATAAGATATTTGTGCTTAATTTAAAATATGTATATTTGAGCAGGAAAATATATTAAATGAGAATTATTAAAATTTTAAAAAATAAAATGCTCTATGAAATTATAAATTAAAAATAAAATTTTAAATATTCTATTAAAGTGTTCTTAAGAAGAAAAAAACTAATTTTAACACTACTTTAAATTTGTATATTAACAAAATAATCTTTATTATTTTAATTTTGTAAATTTATAGTTATTCTTAACTTTTAAATCTTTTGCATTAAATGGAAAATTTTAAAGTAAATAAATTTTTTATTTTTAAAATATTAAACAAAATTAAATTTTAAATCATGTTAAAAACTTTACCCTAACAAACTGAACTTTAGGTTTAGTGGTGATGGACGAAGGAATCAATCCGGTAGGAAATGTGGGCTTGGATCCAGCTTACCCTTGTTTTGTCCTCTCACAGGATCTAATTCACGAGATTCTCAAGAGCCTTTGGGAGAAGGCCAGCCAGGGTTTGCTCTTCCTCTCTCTCTCTCTCGTCTGAGCTCCACAACAGATGTTGCCAAGGCGGATGAATCCAACGTAGGCACAACCTCGAAAAGAATCAAGTCTACCACTGGTGAGCAAAGCAGAGTTTCTAAAATCATAGAGAAATGCAGCCGGCAAATGCGAATGCTCTCAAGCTCTCCTGTGAGCTGCTCAAGCTCTTCGTCACAGGTCGGGTTTACTCTATTTCATTTCAAAGAAGGAACTAGAACCAAAACTTCTGGGCTGATTGATGCAGAGGCAGTCGGGCGAGCGGGAATCATCGCAGAGGCCAAGGGAAAGGATCGCATCGAAGCAACACATTTCGAAAGAATGCTACCGCAGTTTTTGCTGGACTTCTAGCTAGAGACGAAGATGGTGCTCGCGGGAAGAACTCTCGCAGTGGTATGAGAAGGCTGGCCAGAGGACTCGCTACAGACTGTGCAATCAAACAGCTAAACTTGAGAGAGTACCTCGATTCGAAGTTATGCTCCTCCGACGTTTTCACTCTGGCTTGTCTCATCCGCGAGTGTGGTTCTCTGGGAAGCCTGCTAGATGCACAAAAGATTCACAGTCACGTCGTAGAGTCTGGCTTTCAGGAAAACCTTTACCTGCGTCCACATGTACCTCAAGTGTGGCAGTGTAGAGAACGCCGAGGACAGGAACAGGATGGCTCACTTCCGAGACGTCACGACGTGGACGGCAATGTTGTCCGCGTACTCTCGTCAATCCAGCAGCAGCACCAAGGTGTTCGAGTTCTACTGCCAGATGCTCCACGGTGTCAAGCCCGACAGCTTCACTTTCACAGCCGTGTTGAAACCCTGCGTTTCTGTGAAGGGAGCGTTAAGTGGCGGCAAGGCGATCCACTCCCAGATCTTAGAGAGCGGGCTAGAGGACGACGAGATCATCGGAACTTCGGTCGTGAGCATGTATGGGAAGTGCAGCAGCCTGGTTGATGCTCGAGCCTGGTTTGATGGAGTTTGTGTCCGACGTCCGCATGGAGTGGTGTTGTGGAACGCCATGATCTCGGCTTACGTCCAGAACGGCTGCTGTGGACAGTCCTTGGAGCTCTTCACGCTGATGCTCTTGGAAGGCATCGCCCCAAACAGTGTCACGTATGTCACGGTTCTCAATGCTTGCAGCTCTACGTTGACGCTGGGTATTGGCAAGGCGGTTCACATCTGTGTTTGCGATCTCGGCCTCGAGTCGGACGTCATCCTTGGGACCGCGCTGCTCAACATGTATGGCAAGAGCGGGAAGCTGGATGAAGGGAAGATCTTTGAAAGGATCAAACCTCCGGACTTGGTGTCGTGGAACTCGATGATATCGGCTCTTGTCCGGGACGGCCAAGGAGACAGTGCTCGAACGTTGTTCAAGCAGCTACTTCTGGAAGGCCTCGCTCCAAATGAGATCACTCTCATCTCTACTCTCAATGCCTGTGCATGTCCAGGAGATTTGACGGAAGGAACGCTGCTCCCTGCCTGCAGCTATGAAAGTGGCCGGGCCACGGTACTCTTCGTGAGGAATGCTCTCGTAGACATGGAAAATGCGGCTGTCTAGAGAAAGCTCGCGAACTGTTTGAATCTGAAACAGTGGAGAGGAACTTAGTCAGTTGGAGCGTCATGGTTGCGGCTTACGCAGAAAACGGTCACGGTCACGAGGCCCTGCAGCTCTTCAGGATGATGATTCTGGAGGGTCAAAGCCTCGACTCGGTCGTCTTTGTCAACGTCCTCAATGCTTGTTCTTCGGCAGGAAACGCTGCTGCGGGAGAAGCTCTTCACGGCAATTTAGTTGAGGCTGGATTCGAGTCGGACGTAGTAGCGGCAACGGCACTCGCGAACATGTATATCAAGTGTGGACGTTTGGAAGACGGGCGTCGTGTTTTCAACAGATTGGAGGCCCGGAACGTTGTCAGCTGGAACACCATGATCTCGGGCTATGTTCAGAACGGTTGTCCCAAAAAAAGCTTGGAACTCTTCCACCAAATGGATCCCGGAGTTGCTGACAAACGGACGTACATAGCAGCACTGAATGCTTGCGCCTGCTCAGTGGCTGCAACCGAAGGGAAACTTATACACCAGCGAATACTTCAGCAGAAGATGAGCGTCGACGTAATCCTGGGAATAGCCATTGTCAACATGTATGGAAAATGTGGTTGCTTGAGCGAAGCCCGGGAGTTCTTTGACAGTATACCTCTTCCCGACGTCGTCACTTGCAATGCCATGATAGCTGGTTATGCTCAGCACGGTCAGCTCGGTAAAGCTCTTAGTCTGTTCGCCAAAATGAAGCAGGAGGGAGTGAGAGCCGACGGTGCCACCTTTGTTAGTGTTCTGTGTGCTTGTAGCCATGCTGGTCACTTGAAAATAGGATCCGAGTTCTTCGTATCAATGCTGGTCGATTACGAGTTTAGAATTTCTGTTGAGCACTGTGGATGCATGCTAGATCTGCTGAATGCTGCGTGAAGCAGAGGAGCTCCTAAAAAAGTATCCTACTTCAGCCAGAGACACCGAGTGGATAACGTTGCTGGCCGCGTCTAAGACGCAATTGTGGCTCAAATCGCAGCAGAGGGCCTTATGAACTGCCGCCCAGAGAGCTCTTTCCCATACGTCATGCTTTCCACTGCTTTGAGCACTGATGAGGAGGCTGCCTGAGAATTAGAGCTATAGCGTGTAAAATTCAACAGACCTGAATCGAAAATTTGCCTGCAGAAAAAAAAAGTTTGTGATGAAGCAATGTGAAATAGTAAGCCTACCTGTCCACAGCCGAGAAAGATGGTACCCATTGAGGCACATGCTGAAAGTTTTCACACACGTTTCTCTCATCAGCTCGTGAACTTGGTCAAAAGATTGCCTTGCGTCCGCAAACTTGACGACAAAACAAAAGTCTCCATCTTTTACCCTGCAGGCCTTTGTACTGTAAGGCAACTTTTTTCTGAAAATCCAGCTGCTCCTAGCGCTCATTTCCATATCCACCGCGCACAGCAGCTTCCTAAACAAAAAATAATGAAACAGCTGCTTTATAGAATGTAGAGTACCTCTGGCGGACCAGGTCTGCAGCAGGAAGTCCAGCCCCGAGAGCCTGTCCAGTTAAACGCTAAAGCTTAGGCAGTGGATTTCACCTTGCACCCACTCAAGATCCTTCGCAGCAGAGAAAGCCACTCCTGAGTATCCACTACCAACGTTGTTCCAGCCATCAATTTCATTTCCATCTGCAGTTTGTAAGCAAACAAGATGTGCTGTTCTCAAAAACTAGTCAAGAAATACTTTTAAGTCATACCTCTTCTCGCAGCCGTTTGCTGAAAACAAAAGATGAACAGCACGATCATCAAGCTCAGCCCCCAAGGAAGCCGAAATCGAGCTACCGATGGCAGTTGTCCTGGAAACCGCCAAGCCTCCGCCTTCAGCCCTTCAAAAACTCAACCAGCCAGTGACACTGAGAGCTCTTCCCGCTTCTGTCCAGATCCTCCAGGACATGAGCGTCCCGCGCTTCTCTGCTCCCACTGCAAGCTGTATAAACCCTACTTGAAGTAACGGCTTGGAGCCACTCCTCCAAGTCGACATGGCCCTGCTTCTGCTTCATCAACCATTCCCTGTCGTTGAGGTTCCATAGCAGGCGCATGAGTGAGCAGCTCCAGAGCAATGTTCATCCACCGTTTACAAATTACAGATCGATGTAGTTAGCTTGCTAGCTCAAAGAAGCGACTTCCCTTCAGAAAACTACACGACACGTTCGGTTCAAGATGCAAAGAACAAAGAAAGATCCTCAGTCACAAGACCAACCAAAAACCAAAAGCTTTTTCAAAATACCTTTTCAGCAGCATCAACGTGTTCAGCAGCTCTGTCATACTGCACGAGGCCAGAATAACAGAGACATAAAGCACGCAATGCCTTCGCTCTCATGGTAGTTTCCTCTTCCGCAGGCAGGTAATGCATGGCAGCCTCGAACAATGGCTGTGGGAAGAAATCCGAGCCACTATTACAAAAACACACCAAATGTCAGCTCTCATATAACGGTGAAATAAAAGAAATTCAGAGAAGCGCCAGACTTCTCTTGTGGATGAAAACCTCAAAAGCAAAACGAAGAACGTTTTCTCTGAAACTGTGTCGTCTCTTTGATCAAGAACGTCAAAGCGGACAGGTACACCTCCACTGCAGCCTTCTCATATGATATGAGAGCTACAAGCTCCTCCTCGGCCTCTTCGTAACGACTGAGCCCAATCAATGCCTTGATTGAAGGCCAGGAACGACGTGCTACGATGATCCAAGGAGGAACCGAAACGCACTTCAGAACTCCCTCGAAGTTCCCATTCTGTAGCGGCCCCGCGGCAATGTACCTGAGAATTGTGAGCTTCTGGCACATCATAGTTTGCTCCTCGCTCTTGCTCTTGCACTCGGAGCAAATCCCATACGCTTGCTCTACGTAGTTGACAGATTCGGCCTTTGATTCCGAGTCATGGAGCGCCAGGAGTGATTTCCCGTAGAGAAGATATATGTCCACCAGCTCTTGATACCTCTCCAGGGAGTCTTGGAGAAAACCACGGGCCCTCTCTAGCATGCTGGAAGCTAGCGCCTTGTGTGACATCTCCCACACTGTTCTTTCTTGACCGCACAAGGCACAGATCAAACATGACCTGCTGCTCTTCCCTGGTGCCGATCGATGAGAGACGATCTCGGTGGCTCGCTCGAAGCAGCCGGCCGCGATTTGTAGTTCCGGATCTTGTGAGGTCGTGCCCGATCAAAGGAAGAATGTAACCATCTTGAGAGTGCTCGACCAACGACACCGGCCCACAAGAGCATCTCGACGAAGGCGCGCGTGGTATTCCCCCAAGGAATCCACCACTGCGCGGCCTGGCGGCTGGTAGCTTAGCTTCCAGATTTGCTGATTCCCAGAGAAGAAGCCTGCTAGGCGCTCGATCCTCCGCAGCGGATTCACAGTAGCCACATCGCCGATCCCTACATCACTAAGAACCTCCGAGATGATCATCCTGAGAGCAAGCGATCGTCGTCCAGTCCTGCGAAGCCCTAGAATATTTTCCCGCTCAACTTTGAATCCATAAACCCTAACCATTTCCCGCCAGGCATGGTGCATTAATGGGCACGTGGCGATCCTAACACGTGCTACCACGTAATTGGGATTTATTCGCCAATTTAAATATTGCCACGTCTAAAAGTTTTGATAGAGCACAGGACTGACATGAGAACATGTAAGATGATAGCGACTTGCGGATTAATACGACAGCGATAGAAGGTCTCTTGGTGGGACATTGATTTAATCTTCTCTTCTTTTGAAGGTACGCTCGTTACACGCGACGAGACTAAATCGTGCTTTACTCTTCTTTTCTTCCGTTTCTAATGGTGTCATTTAAAAAACTAGAAAAACAATGGAACTTTCATCATTTTGTATGTATGAACTAGCAAGAGAACGTAGAAGACGTTATATGCTTGTGTTGAGCAAAATACAGAGCTTGTATCCATGGCCAGCCTCGATCCCACGGGTGTGCTGAGAGTGCTTGTTTCTGAAGCTGTCAAAGAAGTGATTAGGCTTGCCAGGTCTGCCATTCATTGCAAGGAGAAGTGCAGCGAGTTGGAAGATTCATTGACCGAAGCTTCAGGTCTGCTAGATGAAATGGACAACTATTCTACTGCTGAGGGCTCTCTGAGCTCCTCACGACTGGATACCTGGCTGAAAGCCCTCCAAGCCAAGGTTGAAGAGGCTAGACCTCTTGTTCTTGAGTGCCAGTCTCTACAAAATCCCATTCTAGATGGCATAAAGAGGTTGGTTGGTTGTGCTTCTTTTGGGATATTTCTAAATTGAGTTTGTGATTTTGTTTCAGGATAACACTTGCTACCAAGATTGACGACTGCTCTAAGGCGATCCACGAGCACTTGGTTGCAGCTCCTCGAAATCTTGACGTTGAGATTCTACATACATTGAAGAAGCAAAAGGAGGTGCCATCTAGGGTAACAGGCCCAATTCTCGCACGGGTCCTTAATTCCGGCCACCCTTGGCCCAAATCTTGTCCATGTGATAAATGGAAAATTACGCGGCAATTTTTTGGCGGGTTCAATGGCATTCTAGGTTACGATGGATTTGAGTGTGATCCAAGCATTCATAATCACAAATCTAGCCATTTAGAAGAAAAGGAACTCATTCCATTGCTCTATTTCATCTGTATTCCTGAGTTTAGAAGAGCGCTTAATAAAACTGTAGGAGCAAGAGATTTGCTAAGTTTAGCTATTCATCAAGCTGCATTTCATCATAGGGTCAAAGTATCTCAGGAGTGGGCAAAAAAAGTGAAAAAGTTGGAAAGAACACATCAAATCTTGAGGTATGCCACTCTTTTGAAGAAGAAAAACATTCATTTCTTAATAATTTCTTAGATCCTATCACAAGATTTACTGTTCAATCAATTACAAAGCTCAGCCAACACAATATGTGTACATGAAGCACATCGCACGCCATTTCCTTGCCTGGTCAAATGCTATAATAAGAAACCAGCATACTACAGGGCAAAAGAACACAACTTTCAAGAGCTCGTGCGCAAACATTCGCAGCTCCTAGAGGCTGTCCCATTCTGGGCTGTCCTTGCCACAAGAGGTAACTATCTGTTTCCATTTCAGATTTTTAACTAGACTTGCTTCCAGCCCGTGGTGCAGAGAAGTCTGGCAGCTCCTGTCCCTGAAAGTGTACTTGAAAGCCAATGTCCTGGCACTGCAAAGGTAAAAGATCGTCAGGTTAAAAGAAAAAGAAATGCTTGACTTCTCTACTGTTTGTCCATGTCTTGTAAGTCAGCTTCCAGCCAAAGCATGTAGCCAGAAGCATGCGACTAGAACATGGAATGAAGAATCAATAAAGAAGGCTATGCATGAGGTGGAAGAGTGTGGCATGTCTGAAAGAAAAGCTGCTCAAGAATTCAACGTACCTCGGACGACTTTGCGAGATCGGTTAAAGGGACGCAGCATAGGACGACCAGGTCCTCCCACCATTCTTACATCATCGGAAGAAGAGTGTCTTGCATCCCTGGTGAAAGCTCGAGCTGAAATCGGTTATCCACTCACTTTCAATCAACTGAAAGATGCAGCAAAGCTGTTAGTTGCTAGTAGAGTAACTACCTGGATAGAAGGAGGACCAACTCAAAAATGGTGCAGAGGTTTTATGAAAAGACATCCAGAGATCAGTAGCAAAGTCGCTGAGGCCTTGGAGCTGCAACGAGCAAAGTCCTTGAATCAAGTAGTTGTGGCACAATTCTACAAAAACTTGGAAGCAACTTACACTGGAAACAACTATGAGGTAGATCACATTTGGAATGCTGACGAAACTGGCATTCAGGCTAATCGTTCTGGAGGTGTCAAAGTGTTGGCTGCTCGAGGTGCAAGATCTTGTTACCGAATCGTCCTAAACAACACAGAGCACATGACTGTTCTAGTGGCCATAAATGCAGTAGATGGATGAATACCTGGCTTTTATATCTTCAAAGGTGAGCGGAGGATGCAAAATTGGATCGTAGATTGTGAAGTTGGAGCTGCATTCGCCATCAGCAAGAAAGCCTGGATGACAGACACCTTGTGGCCACAGTGGCTTGAACACTTTGTGAAATCAGTACCTGGTGGATGCTCGCCTACAAACCGCCATGCTCTCATTGTTGATGGCCACGGATCCCATGTCACAAAGGTTGCACTTGACACAGCAAGAATGTTAGGTGTGGATGTGATTCTTCTTCCAGCACATACTTCTCACCGCATGCAGCCATTAGACATTGCATGTTTTGGGCCATACAAGCGTTACTTCAGGCAGTGCGTGGATGAACACACTCTTGGACATCTAGGACACGAAGTCAATTGTCGAGATCTCGCACAATTATCCAGTAGAGCCATGGCTATGGCTCTGACACCTGCAAACATCCAATCTGGTTTTAGAGCAAGTGGTTTATGGCCATTGAACAAGAATGCTATGGACACTCACTTTGGTCCAAGTACACTCCATGCAGTATCTCTCGACGACTTTGAAGCAAACTTTGAAAACAGTTTGGAGCTGGGAGACCAAGAGGTCAGCAGCCACCTCAATCATGAGCAGCCTGAACAGCATGAGGATCCAGTGCAGGCTGAGGTCCATCTACAACATCCAGTGCAGCCTGAGCAGCAAGCAAGCAGTGATCGTGACCAACTTGAGCATCCTGAACTTCCTAGACAACTTGAGCAGCTAGGTAAAAAACACTTCTCAATTCTCATTCACTTACAACTTTGTTTCCCAGGAGCTTCACTAGAGCATCAAATTGAGCACCGTGAGCAACACGTGGATGTGCCTGGATGGCAATCAGAAAACAACAGGGTGGCATACCTGCATGCAAAATTATTTTCAGGGGTGCAGAGTCGTCCTCGACTTGGACTAGTGTTGCAAGCTAGTGCTGGAACTGTTTTAACAAGTCCAGAATTCACTAGTGTTGTTGAAGCAATTGCCACTGCAAAAGAAGCACATGAGAAGCAGAAAAAATTGGAAGCAATTGAAAGGGCTGCAAGGAAAAAAGAAAGAGAAGAAGCAACAATAAAAAAGAAAGAAGCAGCAGCCATCAAAAAAAAGGAGAGGGAAGAAGCAGCAGCCAGAAAAGCTGAAGCAACAGAGAAGAAAAAATTGGAAGCCTTGAAAAAAAAGAGGGAGAAAGAAGAGGAAGCAATGAGAAAAAAAAATAAGAGAAAAAATGAAGTCTTGGAATCTCTAATGCCAAGCAAACACCAAAAGCAGAGGTAATGAATTTGCTTGTTTTCACTCTAATATCTTTGGGCTTGCTTGTAGTTACCTGGAGAATGTCATTGTCCCACGCCGCCCTCGCTCCTCCTCGCGGCAACAAATGGACGATGTTAGGGCCATTGACAGACAAAAAATTGGGCCATAAACGGACGGATATTGGGCCATAAATGGACGGACTTAGGATAAGTTTAGACTTTTGGTAATGAGCGGTTTTTAAGATTTTGTGAGTAGTTTTTTCTAAAAATTAGTTTATAAGCAGTAAATCATATAAACTTTTATATTATACCTTTACGTACAAAAATTATATTTAATAAATGAATTCTTACATTATTTTATTAACCCTGGCGGAAATTGGGCCCGTTACCCTAATGTGGTTCCACAGGAAGAACAGCATGTTGTTCCTCTGGATAAGCACATTTTCGGCATGGAAGAGACGCTGGAGCGGGTTGTATCAGACTTGCTGAGGTCCCCTGCAAGCAGCAAGTGGGTTGGAGTCCATGGAGCAGGAGGTGCTGGAAAAACACTCCTGGCCAAACGAGTATGTGACAACGATCAAGTCAAGGGGTGTTTTGATCCAGTTTTGTGGCTAACATTCGGTCAGTCGGTTCAGGTACGTTCCTTAAGCGTATAATGCAACATATTGAGGGGCTATGGTTGTATCTCCTCAGGTGGAAGCAAAGCAACACGAACTTGCCAAAAGAATCGGACTAGAAGGTGATCAGATCAGCAATGAAACACTGGGGAGGGGGCTTGTTGGGAAGAGATGCTTGCTGGTGTTGGATGATGTCTGGAAGTCCATCCATTTGGATCTCTTGGATGTGGTGCAAGAGAATGGAAGCAAGATCTTCATTACCACTCGAAAACGTGATGTGCTTGACAGTAGAGGTGCAATCAAAACCGAAATGGGGCTCTTGGGAAAGGAGGACAGCATGAAGTTGTTCGCAGTCCACGCATTCCCAAACCAAAATCATGCTCAAGTCAGCAAGGCAGTGGTGGAGCAAGTTGTGGAAAAGTGTGGGGGGCTTCCACTGGTCTTGAAGGTAATTGGCAGAAGAATGGCAGCCACACAAGATTGGGACTATGTTCTGAGCAAACTCAAGGATCAGCAACTTCTTGCTCTTGATGAGGAACAACAGGTACTGCACCGACTCAAGCTGGGTTATGATGCATTGTTGCCTCTTCGCATCCAGCAGCACTTTCTCTTCTTTGCAGCGTTTCCAGAAGACTGCGAGATTGTATTTTGGGAGCTGTACAGGTGTTGGAAAGGGGAAGGGCTGGTTGCCAACATAGCAGAGGCCAAGAATGTTTTAGAAAGGCTCAAGAATCACGCACTTATCACTGAAGAAGAAAAAGACGGGCGAGGGGAGAATAAGAGGTACAGGATTCACGATGCGTTGCTGGCTCTTGCTTTGCACATCCTGGAACAAGAAGGCCCAAAGTGTTATTTCAAGGCTGGGCAGTCGCAGATGAGGGACGTGGGGGACGCTTCACCAGTAACTACAGCAGGATTTCACTGTTTGCGTCTAAAATTTCGGAAATCCCTCTACCTAAGAGGAATAGGGTCAGAGTTTCCAGCACCACTTGCCTGCTCCTGGATTATAGTTACGGTCTCACTGCATTGCCAAGCCTCTCTGTTTTCAAAGGCTTGAAGGTTTTGTGCCTGAGTCACACTAGGGTGGTAAGTTTGCCACATAGCATTGGACAGCTCAAGAATCTAGAGACTCTGGATTTGTCTTGGGATAGGTGACTCCAAAGCATTCCAGATTCACTGGGCAACTTGGTGAATTTATCATATTTGAGCTTGGAAAACTGTGAGAAACTCGAGTCTTTCCCTGTGGATGCTTTGCTCAAACTCACCAAGTTGGTCTACTTAAATGGAGAGGGATGTTGGAGAATGTGGACATGCCACAGGTGGCATCGGCTTTTCAAACACAAGAAATGCTTAAACAGGAAGTTTGGAAGACTCCATCTGGATGGTATGTTTCAGGCGTTTCATTGTTAAGATCCTATCCCTTACACCCTAAGCCAACTGGCTAAAAGGGTGATCATTTGATTGCAGAGCCCTTTTCTTATCCTATATCCTGACCGACAAAGTTGAAGGTGTTGATTATTGATACACCGTTGGCTGTGGATCTACCAGCAAGCATAGGCAAACTGACCCATTTGAAACAGTTGGAAATACAAGGTGGTCACCCACGGGGAACATGTGACAGCTTTCAACGCTTGCCCAACCTTGAGATTTTGAAACTGAATGGAATGGAGTTTCCATTGACCTCAGATTGGGACTGGAGCAGATTTCCGAGGTTGAGAACTTTGGAAGTGAGATGCTATGTGCGAAGAAGTGACTTTAGAGTAACCTCCAGCATGGAGAACTTGCAAAAATTGGATATTGAGGACAATCACCACCTTGAGGGGCTTCCTTTCTTAACAGAGGAAATGGTTCCCATGCTCTCCCTTAGCAATTGTGAACGCTTGATTGGGGTGCCCACCATCTCTCAACTGGCATCACTGAAGTTCCTTTTCATCGCCAGGTGTCCCTCCTTGAAGGACCTCTCCATCTCGTTCCTTCCAAATCTAGAGACAGTTTATAGTCTGTTCTGCAACAAAGTTACCACCATCAACATATCCGAGTGCCCATCACTGAGATTTGTTAAAATCAGGGACATTCACAGGCTTGCCCGTGTTGCATTCGGTGGCAACTTCCCACGACTTGCAGAAATAACCCTTGGTGGATTAGAACAGCTTCTAGATGTCTCTCTAGGTGCCACGGATGCCTTCCCACAGCTGACGCAGCTGCAAATAAGAGACTGTGGTATTGACCAACTACCAGAATGGTTCGCATCACTCACAACGTTGAGAACTCTGGAATTATGGGATCTGCAAAACTTGGATGTGATACCCGATGGTGTTGCAAGGCTTCCTCTACTAAGGAAGCTTGATCTGGGAGGTTGCAAGAGGATCAACATGTTACCCTTTGCAGACTCTGAGGACAGCTCCTTCTATCCATCCCTGGAGTACTTACGCTTGGGAGAAACATCCGTCTTTCAAGAGCACCTCTCGGAACGCCTTAAAAAAATTGCAAGTTTTTTTAATGAGAAGTTTTTTAGAGGACCTCTGCAATAACCAAACCTCAAATTAACGAAGCTTTGGAACAACATTGTGCAAACCTGCGAAGGGTAACAATCTGCAAAGAGTCCATCTTTCATGATCAGTGTCATGTTGGCAGTACTCCAGTTCAACCTGGAAAACGAACACACAGAATCATAGTACCAAAGCAACAAGCCTCGTTTTACCTCGAGCAAACAAACCAGCACCCATAAAAAGATCACGCACAGGTTCGCACGAGAATCAAGACGGAGCATCTTCATTTCATACAAACCTGGCCATCTTGAGAGTGCTCCACCGGGTAGATGCCAAGAAGAGCATCTCGCTCGCGATCTGACGAAGCCGAGCGTGGTATTCCGCCAAGGAATCCACCGCTGCGCGGCCTGGCGGCTGCTGTTTGCTGTTGGCAATATGCACGCAGGTGTTCCAGATCCGGTAGCTCAGCTTCCAGATTTGCAGCCGCTGCTCCTCGGAGAGCTCGGATTTGAGGCCGAGCACGCATTCTTCGAGCTCGGAGAAGCCTGCTCGATGTCGCAAACGAGGCGCTCGATTCTCCGCGGCGGATTCACAGTAGCCACACCGCCGATCCCTGGATCACTAAGTACCTCCGCGTGAGAGCAAGCGATCGCCGCGTCCACGCTCGTTCAGCGAAGCCCTAGAAGACTTTCAGGAGGGAAGCGCCATGGAAGGTATGGAATCTCTCGTAGTTACCGCTTCACAGCTTTAGCATCCAGTGTTACCACTGTGTAAGCTTGAGTAAGATTTTCCGCGAGAGGTACGTTCGCTACACACGCGACTAGATTGAGTGGTGCTTAGCTCCTGCTGCAGTCTTCTTTCCGTCCGTTTTTAATGGTTTCGCTTAAAAATTCCTGGTTGTCTGGAGGAATCTCTGAGAATGAGTTCTTCTGGTGAAGCAGCTCGAGAGAACGAATCCAGAGAGCTCCCTCAGCGTCATGTCGAGGACGAAATTCCCAAATCATCTTTGCCAACGATACGCTACCTTCTCCGGAGGAGCAGGTATCGACATGCTCTCTTCAGCAGCATCGTCACACTCATCATGGGAGGGTTGGTTTTTTCCTTCATCCTGATTTTGATCGTTTTTCTTCAGCTTGCAGAGCGGTCCTTCTCAAATGCATTCACTACCACAGGAATTGTCTGCGGCTTCCTGATAATGTTCGTTGTGGCCTCAGCACATACTTACACTTGTGATCTGCTTCTCAGACAAGCTTATTCTTGATTATGAGTCTCTTTCTTTCCACATTGGTGGGAAGTGGTGGAAGGTTCTGCCTTTTTTCTTTTCGTTTTTTAAGTTTCTAAAAGCTTTCTCTCTTTTCTTTTTTTTTCACAGCTTGCTACCGAAATTAGCATAGTGGTTCTGGGTAGCAGGCGTGTGCTTATGATCCTGTCCGTCGTCTTCATTGTTGCTCCACTTTGCCTGGTGGAAAAAATGAGACAGGTATAATTTTGGCATTCTTTGTCTTCTGATTTAACTTTAATGCAGCTCAAAGTTTTTGCAACTGTAGGAACATCGATTGTCATCTGGCTGCTCGTCGTAATAGTCATGGATGCTATCAGGTTCAAGCTGCCTGCGGTGAAAAACGGGGAGCTTGCTGCTGTCGGCTTCACAAGTGTAGGCAAGTTTCGATTGTATTTAGTCATGCTTTTTATCTGAGACATATCGGTGGATGCAGGCTCAAGCTATTTCGACATTTGGTTTTGCACCCGATGATGATGCCCTTCATGCCTGCTGGTAAAGTTGGTGTGAAGCTGACCTCATACTTGGTTCGTGTAGTTATTCTTGGTGAGTTCTTTCTCGGCGAGCACAGATGGTTACGTTTCATTTCAAGTGAGCTATGTGCAGGAACTTCGTTCTTCATTTATGGGACTATTGGATTCTTCGGCGCAGCAAGGTACGGCAGCCTTACATCCGAAAACATACTGGAGAACAAATGGCTTGGCGGTGGTGTACGACATAACTTAGCAATGCCGAGTATCAGCCTTTGAAAACTTTTAAAAATTTCTTCACTTATTGGATGCTGTTCTTTTACAGTATAGCTTGCTTTTGCAATTCCAACTATGGAGTTTCCAACTCGCTACACAATCAACAGTTGGATTCCTGGTGATAAGACTTCTTACGCCATTTGTATATATCAGTTGGGATCCTTGTTTTCTGCACAGGCATCAGTCTCATATCGCCTAACAATTCAGGCGCTGTCATCACAATTACAGGGTGTTTTCATAGTAAACCATTTCATGCCGTTCTTTCAAAGGTATGTTTATGTTTGTGTTTACAAATCACTATCTTAAGTTCTCTCTGCAGAGCAAAATGTCAGAAGCAGGAATGTTTTGAACTATAGAAAGGATACCTGGTATTCAAGAGGTGGTGCTTCCTGCTTTTGTTATTGCCGTTACGTTGCAGCCCTAAACCACACTGTAAAACGTCAACAAATGTAAGCAACAGTTACATTTCCTTCCTGACATTGTTTTCTATTTTCCTTACTCTCGAGCTCTCGGAATCATTGGCGATCCATTCTTGATGGCTAGAGTCATGTTCATACTGTAACGGTCTGATACTTGAAACTTTGGCAACAGAGCAGCTACCAGAGAGTTCATTTGCAGCATAGCCATAGACAGGTGTGTATCTCACCACACCACCATCTCGCCAAGACCGAGGATCAAGTTTATGTGTGTGACTTAACTGACGCTTTCTGTTTTGCTTTCCAGGCTGTCTGCCAAGCCAGCCGAAAGGGCCGAGGCGTCGTCAAAGTCGTCCACGAAAGACATATTGCCGCGCTCGAGAAGCCCATCACCGGCAGCATCGAGCAGTCCCGTGACGCCCAGGGCCTTGCCTCCCAGGCTCGCCGACGACCTCAAGCTCCAGCTAGAAAAGGGGGAGATGCTCAAGAGTTCCATCCCGGCAAATGCTGGATCAGCAGCAGCAGCAGCAGCACCGAGGCAGTGGATTGGTGTGTAGAGGCGGTGGAGATGATTCGCAGTGCCAATTTTTAAAAGTTTTGGACAGTGGAAGGCAGCAGTAGCAAGCTAAGAACAGGATGGCGTGCAATTCGTAAAAGGGTGGGTCTTACAACGGACACCACATGTTGTATTATGAGTGAAAAAAACACAAGCATAGAATATTTTACGAATATCCAATCCTTATGCGCTTCATGCCCTAGCAATTACCCATGCTATGTATGGAATGGAGCCATTCATGGCCCATAGACCCATTCATCCCATGCATTCTAGCAAGTTGTTAATGTTGCAAACCAAATGGACAATTGACTAAATTGCATACCATACTACCTTATCTAGAGCACTATGTTCTCACATCTTGCTCTTGGCGCTCATGGCAAAAGAAGTGAATTATCCTTTTTTGGCACACTTCTTTTAATATAGTGTTTATAGCAAGTGTAAATGAACTCCATCTAGCTCCATTACAAAGCCATGGATATATACTATCTGGAGTCATGTCTCTAATGCATCTCATTGAGTTTATCTTTTGTTGCCATTAATTTCTAGTGTAGCTTTCTCGACACTTTAGTTTTGTACCATGATGCTTAGAAGATTTGCATATGACTCAAAAGTAGGTTGAAGTCTAACTAATTCAATGAATTGGTGGGGCTCATACATCAATTGTATACTACACAAAGGTGCATAGTGTTGATGTTTGGACCTAGAGTTCTCTCAACAAGAGCATGCTGAAGGAAATTTGAGAATGTGGAAGTTGCTATGCCATAGTTGCAATTGCATGTAGTAACATTCAGGATAACAATAGACACTTTCAACATTTTCCAATTATAATTGCTTCAAATTGGACATGGAGTTCTCTCAAGAGGAGCATGCTGAAGGAGATTTGAGAATATGGAAGTTGCAATTGCATGCAGTAACATTTTGGTGAGAAGAGCAATAACAATGGACACTTCAATATTTTCCAATCCTAACTGTTTTAAATTTTGAAATTTGTAAAAAGAGTTTCCAAGCATGGGGCAAAACTATCCAATATATGCTGTGTACTGCGGCCGAAGAACTGGAGTTTTCAGGGATTGGAAGCTCATGCTCACTTTGGTAAGTGTCGCGAATGTGGCTTCGGGTATTAAAAGTTACCTATCGGCTAGTCCTTACGAACACTCTTTCCTTACTGCCATGATGGTAGGAGGTCGGTATTGTTAATTCCCTTTATTGGCCCCTCTTGCTCAAGTGTTAGTAAATTGGAATTTGCATTTGTGTTTGGCTGGACGAGCATAAGGAAGGAATTCCTAAGTATCTATTTAGCCAAGCATACTTGGCCCAGCTTGTTAGTTCTCTTTTGCTTTGTCTTGCACTGGCTTGACAAGAACCTTCGTGTATTGAGACTAGTCCCTCAATAATGCTAGATGATAGCTTACTGTGTCTGCCAAACACTCTCGCTATCATGCCCTTTATGTTAGTCTCAATTTTGTCCCAAATGCTAATTATGGAAAGTGTCTAGATTTGTTCATTTGGCATATCTACGGAATGTAGAGATTGGCTTGAACACAATGGTGTTCGACCCGTGTCCAAATTCACAATCTAGTGCCTATTCCAAATTTAGAAGTTTCGAGCTTGTCCTAGAGACTAACTCCTGAAACTAAAAGAAGCTTGGGGTGAAAGCCCAAAGCATGTGTCCCTCAAGGGGAAAGGGGGGGGGGGGGGGGGGGGG